AGACGAACCTATACATATACTTAAATATTAGTTAATATAATAGTTATAATAATATAATGACAAGTAACTATTTAGAATAATAACATTATTGCAATCTTTGAATAAATTCCATTTTTTTCTATGTACGAGTATTTGAAGTTTGCCATTTTTCAATGCTGCATATTTTTCACTATCACGAATTTCACATAGAAATTTAAAAAACACATCAAAACTCGGTTTGTTCCTCTGAATTCGGCATCTATATATATAAAAACGGGCAGCCAATTATACGCAGTTGACAAATTGCAAATTAGGTATATCATCAAACCGTATGAAACATTCTTTTATACTAAGGCAAAAATTCATATCCTCTGTTTTAAAAACTATCCATTGGTCTATCTCAAACCAAAATTGACTTGTTATGGGACAATATTAAAACAAATGTAATAAGGTTTCAATATGTTGTTTACAAAATTCACACATATTTGTATCCACTAATTCAAAACCATGTAATGTATAGTTGAGAACTATAGATTTATAAAAAAGTTTAATTTGGATTTGTTTCAATTGTTGATGAAAACGAATTTTTGAAGTAGCTGTCCCACTTCACATTGGGAATATTAAAAGACTCTTGCCAAAATGATTTGTACATAATAGGGGGAACAAACTTTTTCATTATTATTCTGTTACAAGCACTTTTACACAAGTAGTTGTTGTGAGATATGTCATAAAATCATGATCAATCAAACATTTACGATCAAACCACTCTATTTTCCGTTTACATCTACCGTATTTGCTCGTTTAATAGCCCGGGCGCTTATTTTTTAAACATACTCACTAACCGGGCCCTTATTCAAACTAGAGATGTACCGATACCACTTTTTTTGCCGATACCGATCCGATACCAGCTAAAAACGCCGATACCGATACGCCGATACTACAAAAAGGCCGATATTCCGATACCGATACTATATAATTATTACTTAATTAGGTGTGCTGTGTAGGGCAGACGGGTTAAAACAATGGTCTTTGAGCGTTGTTCATAGCACACATTATTTCAGATCGAAAAAAAGATATATCACATAATATGAAATTGATGTTTGATGTTTGCTTCAACTGATTAAGATACATTGTACAGTAACGCTAGTAATCTCGGTGTTCAATTGAAACTCATAAGCCGGGATGTCCAATTTGAACTTAATATGAATATCGCGACCTTCGAATATCGTTATTCGAGTTTAAAAGAATATCGAATATTACCCACACATTCTAGCGCCGCCGTCCTACGTTCAAATTGAAAGCATTTTACAAATATTTTTTTCCGTGGCTAATCGTAATCGTCGACGCCATAAGTCAAAGCCAAATTGAAAGAATATCAATCAGCACCGACAAAAAGAAGGCCTACCCATAACCGTCGAGGATGTTTTTTTTACTTTACTATTTTATAATATAAAATATTTTACAATTGCTATCATAAATTTTGAATTTCGGAATTTAGTTTATCGATGTCGACGGACAAAATGACACTCGTACTTGACGAGAAACAGTCAGCGTTTATAGCCGTGCCAAAAGTCCTTGTGCCGTTAATAAGGACCCCAATTCCACTGTATGATTTAAAACTGGGCGCCTAGTTGCTTTTTGTTATGTGCTGTGTTGATATATTTCTTCATAATTACTATGTAATATTAAAAATGTCAATATAAAAAAATTGACAGCGAAAATAGCCAAATTAGTTGAACTAGTTTGTCTGATAAATAGCTAAAAACACGTGAATCCTATTCTCTCGCGGGGGTGGGGACATGTATGTCTCATAGCTCACGATCTCTCCAGACAAAAAATAAATTAAAAAGTAGTATTCCAACTTATCTTTTAAAACATTCTGGATCTCATCAAAAAGATAAATATATCGGAAATATCGGCCTTAATTCAACCGATACCGATAAATGGCCGATACCGAAAAAATGGCCGATACCCGATACCGATACATCGGTACATCTCTAATTCAAACCGGCCCTTATTCAAGCAGGGGCGCTCGTTATTTTTAAAGTAAAATTACACACAAAAATACCGGTAGATAAGATCGATCGTTACAATAATTAATACCGTATATTGTCATTTCCAGTTCCCAAGTATGTTTTAAACGAGAATAATGAAAATTTTGACTTTTTCTACGCACCGCAGGTACAAATTCGCAAAAAAAAACTTTTACACCGGGCGGGTATTCAAGCACCGGCCCTTATTTATTTTCATGTCCTGTTCACACGGGCGGCTATTCAAACGGGCCCTTAAACAAGACCGGACTTTAAAACCATTCACCTCAATGGTTAAAACGAGCATTTACGGTACTTCGGTTTGCTAGCGCCATCTTCTGTTAGTGCATCGCATTCCGAATCCGATAGAAACATGTGCAACACTTGCGCAACAAGCGATTGGACGCGAGGGCACGTTACTTTGTTAGCGGACTTTGTTTTTTTTTCGATTTGATGCGTGCAGGTAGCGTTATCCTGGTAGTGGGGACTTTTACCCCCAAATGGGCACTATCATGATTTCTAAACAATAGGAAATACTGCAACATAGAGTTGGTTAAACTGCATGGTCTGTGTTGTGTGTGATAAAATTCTGTCGTTTCTGAGTTTGGGACTGGTGATTCTGCCTGTGAAGGTCATTCAGTCATGGAAGCGTAGGGCGTTTGACCCCGCGATTTCCTAGTACTAAAATGCGCTACTGAAGTTCCATGAATTGTCTATGTACGGTACCCTTGATTTTTTGTTTATTTTTATTAATTATTTTATTTTCTGTTATGCTGGTTGTCTGGTTGTGGAGTCTGGGAGTAGAGATACAGAAATATCAGAATATACCTATTTATTACTGTCAGACTGTATAGTGCAGGGGTGGTCAACCGGTCAGAGACCAAGAGCCGCATTTCGCACTTTATTCCCGCAAAAAGCCACATTATAAACAAGAACATGCATGAACATCATACAGTCTATCTGGGGTCTCGTGTAGTTTCTTACCTAACATACTTCTAGTGGGCGTAGCAAGACAATTTTTTCACATATCAATCCTAACCCCCACCTGACTACATCATCCAAAAATGATGCCATTACAACGTCATAGTGATGTAATAGAGCCCTCCAAACTATACGAACTGCCATCCAAGACGCGCAAACGAGCACCCGAAATCGAACAGTTAGTTCTCTCGTTTTCTCGTCGCAACGATTTCAATAGGAGAGAGACCGATAATGTCAGTCAGTTCTTTATCGTCGGCGCCGATGCCATTTCGGTCGATTGTGCGTGTATTTGGCAAGCTCTATGACGTGATTATGATGTCGTAGTGATTTAATTTTTGGATGGCGTAATCAGATGGGGGTTAGGATTGACATATCAAAAAATTGTTATGCTACGGCGACTAGAAGTACGTTAGGTACGAAACTTCACGAGACCCGTCTATCTGTATATACAGTACCTTTATACAGCTCTGTTTTAATTCTAGTTCATTATAAATGTCATCAACCAATATGATTATGTCAAAAATTTACAAGCCATTTATTGTTATGTATGCTACTTAGTGGGACTTCTGTCATTCCTTGGATTGAATAATCCTCTTTAAATTTGGCTTGTATGTCGTTGTTGCTAAGCAAAGCAGTTTTTTTCACATCCCATGGGTGTCAGTCAAAAACAGATCAATGCTTTCAGGCTTTGCTTTTACGTGTTTTAGGGTAAAAATCCCAGATTCGCAGACGTAACTATGTTGATCCAAACATTGACAATATCCGAAGCGCAGCTTATTTGACATTGGGGTATATTTCCATTTTTTCCATAACTCAATGGTCCCTTTCCTTAAAGCGCATTTCGGTTAGTCTTCCTCATAGAGATCGATCATTCTCAACTCAGTTGCAGCCTCATCTGAGAGACTGAGACAATAGGAAATTTCGAACAATCCGTCCGAGAATTGAACGAGTCGTATTGGATACGCTTACGACAGTCTTCGCAGTGCAATCTGACAACAAAGAATTTGAATGTAACGTAATAATGGATGATTGCATTTGTAAAGTGAATGGCGGGGTTCATTTATTTTTGGCGTAAGAAGAATGCACGACAAATCCTAATATGTTTAATCGAAACATGATGAATAGTAGTTTAAAGTTATTTTTCCCTAAGGTAACCAATGCAAAAAGAGCCGCATGAAACCGGAGCAAGAGCCGCATGTGGCTCTCGATCCGCAGGTTGGCCACCCCTGGTATAGTGTATATCCGACTTCACACTGCTTTAGTGTGATAATGCACCAATAATGAAACAATTAATGTTTATACGCCCGTTTCATCTTGTATCGTTATGATGACTGTATTGTGGTTGACAAAATAATGATTTTATTGAGGTAGTTCACTAAACGCCGTCAAGTACTTCTAGTTGGCGTAGCATAACTATTTTCTCCTATGTCATTTCTAACCCCCAACTGGTGACGTCATTCAAAAATTTTATCACGGTGACGAAATAAGACCATCAAGTATACGAATTGTCGTCTAAAATGCGCATACGATCATCTGAAATCAAGCAAGCTATTTCTCTTGCTTTCTCGTTGTTAAATCCCCATATGAAAGAGATCGCTGGCGTTAGCGAGTTCGTTATCGTCGGCGGAGATGTCATAGCGGGCGATCGTAGCCTTCCCTTGGCAAGCTCGATGACATGGTTGTGACATAATTTTTGGATGAAGTAGTCGAGTGGGGGATAGGAATAACATATGCAAAAATGTTCGTGCCACGTCAACTAGAAGTACTTACGCTGCTCAGTGAACTGTGTCGATTTTATAGCCTATTTCCCGATCTGTGAACCAAATTGACCTACAAAAGTTGTTAAGACAGTGAGTAGTTTTGAGCCATGGTCGCATGGTATCTTTGTGATAAAAGATCATAGAAATTTGTATATGTTTTGCAAATAAAATAGAACAATGTCACTGCATCAAAGATGCAGGATAAATACTGAAATATGTAAATCCTTTCCTATACAGTAGACGATCTTGCAATATCCTATTTTCTTTCATCCAGGCAAAGTCTAATTTTTGTAGTTTCTATTTGATTATTCAATTCTAACGTTAGTTTAAAAACTTGGCTATCGTAGTCTCACAACTAATTCACAAACACCAGAAGAAAAAAACAGATAAAATGCTTTCGAAAACAGCAACTTGTTTGAGCCGCCATGGCAAGAAGTTGTGCAGAAATATTACATCTCGCCACATTCATTTAAAGAAACAAAACGTAAGTTCCTAATTATGAATTTTTATTTTTTGACTGTGACAATATGAAATATTTATATTAGTTAATTATCTCGCTGTTTTGTTTTCTAGACATCTATACTTGAACAATGTGATAAACAAAAGATCAGCGGCAGAAGACATGCGTGAGTATTGAATTTTAGCAAAATGTTTATGTTAACTGTATTTCTTATAATATATTTGTGTTTACTACAGATCTGAGGCCGTCCGAGGAGCAGTGTTTGGAATTGACTTGGGAACAACAAATTCTTGTGTTGCCGTAATGGAAGGAAAGCAAGCTAAAGTTCTTGAAAATGCTGAAGGTAAGCATTGTGTATTTTTCATTCATATTAATACATATTTTGATTGTATCTTTTATATATAATAATTTTGTTTTGTGTTCGATTGAAACCGTCAAATCGAAGACTCCACTTTTATTTTGCAGGGGCAGTGTAATTTCCACTTGGCATATTGAATAATCAGATTCTATACTTTCTAATATGTTAATTGTTTAGTCTGCATCCCTGATTTTAGAGTTTTTCGAATTTAGCATTGCAAAATTTTTTTTATTCAACTACGGTATATTATATTTCCAATGTTAGTATATATATATATATATATAATCAGCAAAGTTGGTACATACTTGAATATTTGACTAAAAATATTTTGTAATCTGTCTTGATAGGATCTAGAACAACACCATCTGCGGTTGCATTCACTGGTGATGGAGAGAGATTAGTTGGAACACCAGCCAGAAGACAGGCAGTCACAAATCCTGGCAACACGTTTTATGCTACAAAGCGTTTAATTGGAAGACGGTTTGATGATCCACTCATACAAAAAGAAGCGTAAGTGGTATTTCATCTAAATCCATTGGGACTCACACAAGCTGAATTGTATTGAGTAGTATATTTAGAAATAACAAGTATGTGGAATGCAATTAAGTATTGTGTGGTCTGAAAAAATAGAAATGTTAATTTTTGTGAAAGATACTCATATACAACTATTCGCTGAGGAGGAAATTATTTTTTCAGGAAAACAAGCCCATTTAAAATTGTCAAAGCAAACAATGGAGATGCTTGGGTTGAAGGCACTGATGGAAAACGTTATTCTCCTTCACAAATCGGAGCATTCGTGCTTATGAAAATGAAAGAAACAGCAGAAAGTTACTTGAACACACCAGCGAAGAATGCAGTCATCACTGTACCTGCTTATTTTAACGATTCTCAAAGACAGGTGCTTAGTTGTGAAGTTATTCTAATTTGATTAGGAATGTATAAAACATAAAAATTGCTACTGATGATTCATCAACATTTAGTTGACAACAATACAATTTTCTAGGACATGCCTATAACTATATTTAGCAATTGCAAAAAAGACATATATCTTGCTCTTCTTGGCCATTTATCAAATAAGAGGGCTCGTCACATTTCAAAATTATTCTGTACACAGTGTGGATAACTGTATATAGATGTACTATTCATATTATCGAAGACCATGCAACAATATGCTGAAAGTACTTCTGTAATTTTGTTATGCTCTAACTTTATAATTCTCAGGCAACCAAAGATGCTGGACAAATTGCTGGACTGAACGTGCTTCGCGTCATTAATGAACCAACAGCAGCCGCTCTTGCTTACGGACTCGATAAAGCTGAAGATAAAATGTATTATTTTTTCACGATTTCGTAGTAGCAGTAGGCTTCATAAAACTAGAAGTGAATATAGTATGAAATAGATGTGAGATCGGGCTCAAAATTTACAGCCCGACCCGACCAGGGCCCGTGGGTAATAAACCCGACCCGAGCCCGAAGTAAACCTGAAATTTCATATTTTATTTACGAGTTTGGGAGTAAAGGAAGAATATTTTTGGGGGTCAGAGGTCGGGGAAATGTTCATTACAGCTTCTTCTCTGTTTTATTCAAGTATTCCTTAGTTTAGTATCCACACATAGTTTTAGTATTTGACCTTTCAGGCCCGACTCGAATTGTGAGGTTGGGCTCTGACTTCAGGTCTTAGCTCAAGTATGAAACCTCTTGTGCGCTTTTGTTGACATGAACATTATTTCTTTTCCATGTCTCATTTGCAGTATTATTTACTCTTTTTTTTTCTAAAATCAAGCCAAATCCTCAGTATAAATGCCAAATGAAATCCTTTTTTTAAATCGATCGTCAAACTCATAAAAACTTTATTACAGTATCGCAGTGTATGATCTTGGTGGTGGAACTTTTGATATCTCAGTTCTTGAAATTCAGAAAGGAGTTTTTGAAGTAAAATCTACCAATGGAGACACAATGCTTGGTGGTGAAGATTTTGATAATACATTTGTGGAGGTTTGTATTTGCTTATGATTGCAACATTTTATACTTTGTATTAATCCATCCATATTCAGTTATCTTGAGAGGTAATCAGTGTTCCCATCTAAGGTGTGCGCATGTGCGCGCGCACACAGCTTTCAGAGGCTGCGCACACGCATAGATTTACCGCTCACAGACGTATTTCGATGTAATGTAACAATGTTCCCAGTTGGCAGGTTGAGAAAGTTTGTTGTTGGGCCACCCATTACCCAGTTATAACACCAAAATTTCTTCATTGGTTTTTGCACAAATATTAGTCATTTCCAAAAAAGTGCGCACACACCAAAATTTCTGCGCACACATGCTACAAAAATTAGAGGGAACATTGGAGGTAATACTGAGTGCTGACATTAATCATTTGTTTGTGATGTTGGGTCAAAATAATCATACTAAATCGGATTTAAAACTTTTTTTTTATAACCAGTCTGAAATTATTTCTATATTTGCATCTTCCCTTTTTATCACTAATTTAAATATCTGCTGTATTGATATACTGATGATTAGAATAAGTACTGTTGCATAGTTTTGAATTTTTCTACTCTGAAAATCAGCTATTTATATATTTTTATATTATTATTAGCACCTTGTGAAGACATTCAAGAAAGATCAGGGAATTGATTTAACAAAAGATGCAATGGCAATGCAGAGAGTTAAAGAATCTGCTGAGAAAGCCAAGATGGAACTTTCGTCTTCTTTACAGGTAGATCTTAATAATATATGACTTTATGTACAATTTGTGTTTCAATACAGCAGATAATTGGCCTGAAGCCTTATCTTTTGCTCAATAATGCAAAAATTCTGGCATATTGAACTAAACTGTGCAACAGAGTATTCAGAACAATGCTTCAAAATATTTCACATTTCTCGTTTTCCAACATATATTTTTGTGTACTAACTAATGGTTGTCAATGAGAATTCAGGTGGCATGAAATTTCATTTGTTCAATACTGTCACAAAGGATTTAATTTGTAGATGATGTTGTGGGCATTGCTTTCTTATATGATTTATATCAGCATAAAATTTTATCAAATCACCCTGGTCCCGAATGAACTTCTCTATTCATTCAAAACTGGGTTGTCATGCTTTTGGTTGCATCTCAGTTTGCACTTACAACTTTCACTATCACTATTTGTGAATACATTGATATTTTTGTTCATTTCAGACTGACATCAACTTGCCGTATTTAACTATGGATCAAAGTGGACCAAAACATATGAATTTGAAAATGACTCGAGCTCAGTTTGAAAACCTTGTTGGAGAACTGATCAAAAGAACCGAAAAGCCATGCGAAAAAGCAATTCAGGTATGTTTTTGTTTCATTTTTTTGTTTATTCGTTTAACTCGAAATGTAAAACTTGTATATTTGAACTCCATCTTCACGAGCACATTGTATTATGTCATGCCAGTGATCTTACCATATCAGTAACAATTTTGTTGGCTGGTCTAATACTGTATACATATTGCAAGAGGCAGTTTGGATGTTTTGAATAGAATTGCTTTGTCGTTGCAGCAGGGGAGAGAAAGACAAGAACTTAGTTCAATTAATGATGAAACTGTTTTGTCCATGCCTATATATATATATAACCTTGATCAGTATGCAATAAATTAGGTATTCTGAACATGATGGCATTGTGTGTCTTTTTTCATTTTTAATTACTTTTTTTTATGTGTATTTTAATCTTTAGTATTTAATAAAACATACATATCTCAAAGAAATCATTCCTCATTCTAATTTCAAGTATTCTACTTCAGGATGCCGATGTATCAAAAGGTGAAATTAAAGACATTATTCTTGTTGGTGGAATGACCAGAATGCCAAAAGTACAGGAAACTGTTCAGAAAATATTTGGAAGAGCTGCAAGCAAATCTGTTAATCCTGATGAGGCTGTTGCTATGGGGGCTGCTATTCAGGTAAACTATCTATTCAAGAATTATCTATTTTAATCGTTTCTCAGCATTGAGCTGTCTAACTTAATTTAGGATAAGATAGGATTTACATATTTATCCTATGGCGAACCACAGCCTCTCGTCCGGTCACCAGTACATATCGGGTATGGGATTAGTTAGCCAGTTATTAGTTTTCGGAAGCATGGACTTGATGGTGCTGTAAGCCAATTATTTTATGGCACCGATATTTTGTATGTTGTTCAGGGTGGTGTGCTTGCTGGAAATGTCACTGATGTTTTGCTGCTCGATGTAACTCCACTTTCTCTTGGAATTGAAACACTAGGTGGAGTTTTCACAAAACTTATCCAGAGGAACACAACCATACCAACTAAAAAGAGCCAGGTATGTTGATTTAAAGTGAAATTTTTTGACAAGAATCTACTCTATGTTTCGTATATGCCATTTTATTTGGTATCTTCAATTCTTTCATTGAGCAAGACTTAAACAAATGTCCACTGGTGGATAAGAAACTGCTGTTTTTGAACGAATGGTAATCTTTCTAATTTAACCAGTGCTGCCATCATAGCATGGTCAATGTTGATCGCTATATGATCTCATATTGTTCAATGTGGCAGAAGTACCAGATTGTAATTTTGTCATTCAACTCTTCAGGTCTTCAGCACAGCAGCTGATGGACAAACGCAAGTTGAAATCAAAGTACACCAAGGAGAGCGTGAAATGGCTCTAGACAACAAGTTGCTCGGTAAGTTTTTCCCATTTTCTTCATAACATCAAGATGTAGAATGTTGCAAGTGACCTTTCACATGCTGAGATTTACTTATTTGTTCAACCTTGAAACAGAGATTTCCGTAGATAGCACCATAGCGGTTGACACTTGAGTTTGTTTGTGTACCCAACCCGGTGGAATTATAAGTGCAATTGCAATGCTAGTTAGAATTATTAAGAATTGTTTTCCTTAATGATATTCAAATGGAACCAAGATGTTGAGTTGACATTGAGATAAATTTTTATTTATTTCCAGGTCAATTTCAATTGGTCGGAATTCCGCCAGCACCTCGTGGTGTACCACAAGTTGAAGTTACTTTTGACATTGATGCAAACGGAATTGTCAATGTTTCGGCAAGAGATAAGGGAACTGGTCGTGAACAACAAAGTATGTTGTATTCTTTTATTGATTTTCAATCTCATATCTGATTCATTCTCAGTAATTTATTTTTCCACCATACTAAAGTACACCTTATGAATAAACAATACAAAAAAGGAAATGTTACCTCAGGGTGAAGAGAGATTCGAGACACCATTACTGGTTAAGTGGTTATCGAGCAGCAACACCCGTTCTCATGTGTCACCCATTCCTTATATTTTCAAAAATTTCAACCATAATAAGTTTCATTTTTTTTTCTAACTGCTAGTTTAGTAGGAATAGTAAGCTGATTGGAGTTAGAGTTGGAATGTTTATCTGCCTTTTAAATTTCAATTTTCACCTGCTTATAGAATAATTTCCAAATTAGACCAGCTATTAGTATGGTGCTAAATGAATTTTATTGAAATTTTCAGTTGTTATTCAATCATCTGGAGGACTTAGCAAGGATGATATTGAAAATATGATTAACCAAGCGGAAAAATACGCAGATGAGGACAAAAAACGAAAGGTATATATTCTAGCCGACTGTCAAAGTGAAAAAATACATTTAAGCACTGGTATCATATCTTCTCTTTACTGTGTTCAATGATGATTATGCCATGCTAATACTGAGACAAGGATAAACAGAGCAACTGGTTGCCTGTTTTCTTGTCAAAGAGTTCAACTTTTTCTCAACCTGAGAACACTGCGTATCTAGTATTGTAAAATTTTCTGTTAGTAATTGTAATTAGTATTCAGTGGAAGTATTCTAAGAGTGGTCTTTTCGTCTTTGCAGAGAAATCGTGATATATGCAAAATTTTGTTCTTGTGCAATTCTATATGAATGATGATAGAATCACTGGAAATGACCAAATATATAGTAAAAATTATTTAGAGAAACTTTTTTTACAAAGACATTTTGTTTCAAATTACGAGATATTTCGAAAAAAAGTTTTCTGATTATCACTAATATTCAGTAGTAGGAACTATTGAATCAAATATAGCCCTTACTTTGTTCATCATTATTCTTTGTGATGATTGTCACGTAGTAATATGTAGTGAACAATTACTTTTGATTTTTAGGAAACTGTTGAGATTGTGAACCAAGCTGAAAATGCGATTCATGATACAGAAACTAAAATGGAGGAATTTAAAGATCAACTTCCGGAAGAAGAATGTAAAAATATCAAAGAAGAAATTGAAAAGGTTAATTTTATTTCAATTTCTTTCATGAATTGTATAATCTGATACCTGCTATTAAACGAATTTGGTTTCGTTGCTGTGAATATTGTATTTGTATAGGAGTTGAGGAATATGATAACGCTCAATCTTATTTGTCAGTGTTCAATATCTAAACATTATTGTATAGTGTTGAAATAGAAAAATCTTTAACTAGGCTTCTTTTTACGGAATTGAGACTGTGACAGCTAGAAGCGAAGAAACTTTTGAAATGAAAACTTCAATGCTCAGTGTTTAACAATGATTTGATCTACTGCAGTTCTGCGAGTTAGCGAATGGATATAATTTTGGCCTGTCTTATTTATTTTACAATACTAAAGTGTAATTGATTCAGACTGCATGTATGAGCTGCTATGCTATTTCCGATTTATTGATACTGTTCTATATTTAGGTCAAAACAATTCTTGCTAACAAAGAAAACGAATCAGTTGAAACAATTAGAGAAGCTTTCTCTAGCTTACAACAAAAGAGCTTGAAACTTTTTGAAATGGCATACAAGAAAATGGCAGCTGATAGAGACCAAGGTGGTGACGCTAGCTCAACTGAAAGCTCATCTAGTACTGCAGAGGAAAGTACCACTGAACAATCTGACGAGGATAAAAAGAAGCAGCAGCAATAGAGACACCACTTGTAAAAAAGTTGTAAATTTCTGGCATGTACTTTTCAAATGTGAAATAATAGTCGAGAACAGATGTCTCGCCCCATAAAACTTTGGTCCATTTTTGAAATTTGTGAATACAATTTATGAAATGATGATCAGAATGACCTTTGCTTCAGGACATTGCCTTATCACTTGTACAGTTTAATCTTGTTTTCCAGCTTGTTTTAATTCTTATTTTGTTTTGAACATGAACGTGGGAAATCATTTTCCATTTGGATGAAGATTTGTTGTGTCATAATCAAAATGTTCTGATAAATATACTGTCCTAAAATTTTTAATGTTGTGCTGAATTTCTCAAATGTTGACTAATTTGTCTTGGTGGGTTTTTCCTGACGCCATTGAGCTTAGTGTTTGTACCGAAGCAAACGGTCGTGCCCCTCCAGGAGGATAAAATTGTCTTATGTTATGATACCCCATCGGTTGCTTAATACGTTCAGCTTGATTAAAATCTGGCTTGTATGTTGGTGCATTATTAAAGAGTCGTGGCGCTCGGTCTGGCTTTCTGCCTTTAATTGTATGTATTCCATGATCATCGGATTTGTTCCTGCAAATAAAATAAATCTGTGATCGCTTATGGATTTTATTTGAGGTCGTCTGGAAGAGGGGGATAATTGTTTTGGCATTCCACGTTTGTAACCATAACTTTGGTAACTGAATATTGAAAGGAAAATGGGATTTAGTTGATGCTCTGTTTAATTCTCGTTGGTTTAATCAGACTGGACACAATCGCAGTTTTTACTTTTTTTAAAGTTCGGCAGAATGCCTGAGAATTTCCCAAAGAACTAAGTTTGAGAACCAATGCGTTGGGAGCATGCTAGTGCGGTTTTTGCACGGGTTCGAATCCATTGGGGATAATTATGTTTCAGTGTTTTGCTGGACTTTTTCTGTCGCAAGCGCCACTGGTTGCTGACTGCTCCCATCACTCATTATCAGTTTTTATTTATTTGTTTCTATCAATCATTTTATTGTTATGCTGATTATGGAGTCGAAATAAACTTATACAGTACATACAAGTTTTCAGATACATGTACTTTATATTGGAGCAAGCCATAACCGACCAGTGGTTACGTGAATCATCCTACTGCGAGGTGTTCAACAATCCATATTCCATTAATGAGAGCGCAGGCAGAATTCAAGAACGTAAAAAGTTGGCGAAAGAATTCTACGAAAAATCAGAATGAAAGAAAATCCGTTTGCCGGATATTTTTACGGGTCATTGAATCAGACACGTCATTGACCTCACTGAATGAGAATGCAACATATGGCACTTTCCGTTTGAGTTTGCTTCCCGTCGACCTCGTTTTGTTGAAGCAGTTAGGTGAATGCCTCGTTTTAATTTGTAAATATATTTATAGTACGATTGTCACAGAATTAAGTAATTAAACAATTGTTATCTTGTATAAGAGTGAAACGTTAGTTAGCATGTTACACAGTTGCTTGTACCGTATTTCAGTATTTGGGTTTCGCTCTTGCTGTTTTGGGGATTCTGTTATTGCAGTCGGAATCGTTCATATTTTATAATTTGCAGATATCCCCCTAATCTAACCGTAGAATCAATGATATAATGTAAACAGACAAACGATAGCATTGTACTAATTGTAATTAAAAAATTAGGTGTTGGATTTATAAATACTGAAATAGTTTATAAAATAAAAATGGACAATTCTGGAGATCGAGAAAAGCATACCAACTACCAAAAAAATTATAAAAAAAAAAAATGAAGCTTGGGCCAGAAATATACAAACAAAAATAAGTGACTGTATTGAACTTTCGAGCTGTTATACTTTTGAAACACTTAGCTAATAAGCCCCATCTCTCGGTGATAGGCTATTGCGATAAACCGAATTTATTTGGCGTCAAATGTAAACCATGATTAACTGATCACTCAATTCTGTAATTGTAAGTGAAATTCATTCAGTAGGCGTATAATAATAAAAACAAATGAATAATGGCACATGCAATGATTTTGAGCAAAAAGAAATTGAATGCGCATGGGAAGTTACATTCGAATTTCAGAAATAATAAATATGATATAGACATGAAACCTTACTTAGTCTAAATGTATCAATGAGGCATTAAATTTATTTTTTTTCAAAAATCTTATGCCTTCGAGTTTTTAATTTTTCACTCTACATATATTATTGATAACTTTCCACAGCTAATAAATTTTGCGCAGACAATAATTTATTCATTTCATTTTCTTGCTGTGTAATTTTAGTCAACGTCAGTAATTCCATAGCATACTGGCTGGTATATGTGAGCATTGCATTGTTGATGCCTTTTTCATAAAACTGTTGACTACATTTACATGGCCCATTACTATCTATTCAATGACAGCCTTGCTATTGTTTTGTCCTTGCATAAAAAACACGAGTGAATAAATGCATCTGAGTCAACCACAACATAGACAATTGAAGCAAGAAAAAAACACCAACGAAAATGCTCAATATATATTGTAGAAACCCAGACAATGTAATTTTTTTGTCTATTGTGACATTGCACAAGTTTATCCTATGTATATGCTATGCATATTAGTGTTAATGTTGTAAAACTCATTCTAACAGTAAGATAACCACTATGAGGTGGTTAAAATAGATTCTTATTTCTGGCCCTAATTTGCTATATTGTTCAATTGGCTGTTTGAGTGTCCAAAATTTTCATCAACTCTAGGCATCTTTATTAAATATTTTTTGCTGTTCAACATGTGTTAAAATCATACCAAATAAAAGAGGTTCTACATTTTCATATTTTAGAGTTCAACCCTTTTAAATAATATCAACAAGAATGATTAAATATTCTATACCTTTGTTGCTGATCGCATTCTCTGCGCAAACAATTCAAGCATATTTTATAACTGTTGATGCTCATGCGGAAGAATGTTTCTACGACAGAGTTCCGTCTGGAACAAAGATGGGTCTGATGTTTGAAGTAGCCGAAGGTGGATTCTTAGACATTGATGTGGAGGTGGGTTCTGTTATTAGTTTGGTGTATAATCAGTTTTAAAATAACCAAAGCAGTTTATGACCAACATTTCAGTTATGAGAAATAGGGACCTTCACATTTGCTTGAATAGTTATATAAAATCGAATAAAAACATGCTACTTGATAGCAATGTTTGTAGATAAAAGTAATTTGAAGAAAATATCAAACTATATTTTCTTTTATTAAATATACCATGTATGATTTCTGTTTTTATTCAATAGTTCTCATGTATTTTAGTATTCAAGTTTAATATAGTTTCATTTTCATTATTTGGTCAATGTAATTCTGTATTGCAAAAAGCTATGTAATTCTACAATGACCCGTTACTTATATTGATTTATATTTATAATGGCTAATAATTGCAATTGTTCAGGTTACTGGCCCAGATGGTGAAAGCATCTACAAAGGAATCAAAGAGTCGAATGGAAAATATGCATTTGCTGCTCACAAGGATGGAATGTATAAATTCTGTTTCAGTAATAAGATGTCAACAATGACTCCGAAAATTGTCATGTTTAGCGTTGATATTGGTGATTCCCCTAAGAACGATAGTCCAGAATCAGATGGTAAGAGTATTTGTTTTACAAAATTAAATTGGTTTGATATTACTAAGTTCAGAACTTATATGGATTTATTCTGTGATCTGAGTTGGCTCATTTTCTCCTATTTCTCTGTATAACTTATATTATGATCACCCGGCCGGTATTCAAGCGGTATGGAAGCAATCACCTATGCCATCTTGTAACAATGTACTGAGCTGGGAAACATAAGTGAGAATGAAAACTGGTTTCAAGCGGATGTATCAAGTCTGTTCTCGTTCCATATATGTTTTGCAATGTATTGTTCATAGTGCCAATCTATCTGGGTAGTTATAAATGTTTGAAGTACAATTTAAGACATTTGGTGGCGCAAATTCCCATCAGATTGGATTATGTCACCTATACCCGGACAAAATTGCAGAGTCTGGCAATTATAGAAGTTACTTGATATTACCTAACCTATAATATTTTTAGCTGAACACCAAGACAAATTGGAGTCAATGATCAATGAACTTTCTGTTGCAATGACTGGTGTAAAACATGAACAAGAGTATATGGAGGTTAGAGAAAGGATACACAGAGCAAGTAAGACAAGTGAATAATCTTAAGAGTAGAAACTGTGAGGCATAGGCTTGAAAAAATTTGTTTTTAAATTAGGGCTGGGAATTGTTAATTGCTCTCTAATTATGAATGTAAGCTGTCGTTCTTAAAATTACCACCATCCTTTTGATATGATCATCGCCAAATAATATATATATACTCCATAAAATTTGCTATCTTACTTGGTGATAACGGAGTAATACATTACGATTGGAAACCCACTCTTTCATTCTTGTATTCCGATTACCGGCAATCCTATTTTCCCCCCTTTTTTTCTATTACTCAGGATTTAACGTACCATAATTCCATTACAGTGCTCTGAGAACAGCTATTAATATTTTTTGGGAAATAGTGTTAATTTTCAATGATCAAAGCGTTTTTTCGTATAATTCCCCCAAATGCTATAATTTATATCAAACAACCTAAAACTCACGCTTAAATGGTTTGAAAAGGACAAGGATATCAACCTTTTCGTTTATTCTATTTCAGTCAATGACAACACAAACTCAAGAGTGGTATTGTGGGCATTTTTTGAGTCCGTTGTTCTTGTTGCAATGACTCTTGGACAGATCTACTATTTACAAAGATTCTTCGAAGTTAGACGTGTTGTCTGATGATCATCACTACAGATATAACAAAGAATTTATTTTTATGTCACAATTGGCTATTTGTAGGCCATTAGGCAATACAGGCTGTTTGGAACATGCTTTGCAAAGTACTATCACAAAATGCCTGGTTTTATTTTATAATATGCAGAGATTGAGCACAGACTGTTTTAAAATTATATTTTGAAGCTATTTGTAGACACTAAAAAGGAATTGTAAAAAGTAGGCGCTAAATGTGTAAGTTGATTCTGTTTGCTTGAAAGTTTAATGTGCAGTTTTGATTTAGTCTTTGGGGTTTGGGTTTACGGGTTCTTCTAGTCTGTTTAAAATTACTATATACACTATTGTTGCATTTAAATTTTAAAGATTAGTTGGAAATACAGAATATGATCAGGAATTGTGTTTTTCGGACAATGATGTGACTTTTTATATCTTATTATAGGGAAAACCAAGTATCGGCAGTCAGAGCTGTTGAGCATGGTTTCACATTGAATGGAGTTTTATTTTCAAACTCCAGATTTGGTGCTCTTAGTTTTCCAAAGGTACCCAAAAAACAGTGTTAATCAAGATAGCGATGGTCAAAATTTGTGGACAACGAAGTAGTACAGGTATGCAATTTTTCACATTTGTGGCCAAAGCAAGAACTAAGTAGTATGGGTATGTAATTTTGTACGGGAGACTACCGGCACTGCATTCTTCATGACTTCGTCGGACCACGATCGTGAAGGTGTGCAATTTTTAACTATGTTGACATCATCACACACAAAAACGAGTCCCATATCGACAGAAATTTTTAAAATAAATAGAAGAAATGGCCTTCTAGCAAAGATCACAATCTTTAACTACTTAAAATTTTAGAACAATTGATCAAGTAAACAATCTGTATGTCCAATACAGAAGGCTTGCATCCAAAAAAATTCACAACCCGAAGTTTTGAGTAATTTGAAATTTTTTCTTAATTTGGTGTCTGGAATCCAGTGTAATTTCATTTCACAGCCATGCCTCACCTGGAATCTGACAACCACAATTGTGTGAAATCTTTAAATCAGTTCGTCATACTTCAGTCAAAAAAACTTTAGCCCCTAATTAAGACTAATTCAAAATTTTGGGAATCCTGTTGCACAGGCCTTTCTCTAGCAGTCTAGGAAGAGGCAAGCTACCCAAACCCCACGTGGTATCGAACCACTGACAGACTTCACACAACTAGCCAGATTGAGATTTTATTAAAAAATTCGCATGATAATGACCGATCCTAGACTGCTCACATCTTCAGTGAAATATGACACACATACAAAACTACAATACACGGTATTTTAACCCGAAGATTTAGAAAGTGTTACTGTTGTATGTGCAATGAATGGCCATGTATGACTGAACCGCTGTTTTAAACATGGCCTGGAATATCAGCTCATTCACAAAAGATGGTATCCTTCTCTTGGACTGTCCCGCTTTGGCATTGAAACTTGTTCATCATTCCTCTTCTGTATCTGTAGCAAGTTGTAGCCTCAAACAGGTGGATGATTGCGTTGGGAACAGAAGGATAAATCATTCTTGCACTGGAGAATTCACATTAAAATATTTATTTGAAGCTTTATGTTCCTTCAAATACTCAAATCCATGTTCATCATAATCTTGTCTTGTCATCCACATATCTTTCTGGTCCATAGGGCTCATTGCCCACTTTTTAGCACCTCTCCATGCATCTAGGGTTGGATTTTCTGCGACTCTTACTCCGCATTCAGAACCAAATGGGCGACATTTAGTCAGTTCTGCTTCAATTCTATGCCTGAAACCATGATACTGGGTGTTTCCTCCTGTGATAAATTTATAAAGTTAAAAGACTAGATTAAAGACAAATTACAGAAATCTGTTGTCACCTGTATAGGTAAGCTAAAGCAAGCAAGTCTAGTCTGTGGAAATCATTTAACTTTGGTTGTCTCAGAGTATTACTACACTTATATTCTTTTCCGAATCTTCTTTGAGCTCAATTGCCAGTGGTTTTATTAGAATTTTCAAAAATTTATAGAAAATGCACCACCAAACTGGTTTTGCACCAGTAAATCGCAGCGAGTAGATGTTAAAGGTCACAAGGAAGTAGTTTCCTAACTTTGTGTCTAATTTGAGAAGCCTTTTTTTCTGATCAAATCTAATACAAAATTCGAATTCCAAGAATAAAAGCAATTAAATGTTATGTCAATAGCCATAGTCACAACTCTTTTACGTTCACCATTAGGGGCACATTTACCAAGGAGATGTCAAGAAAAAAACATGGATGACTTTTCAACCTGTTATTAGAACATTTTTTGCCATTTGGTTTTGAGTATCTTCTGGATAAGAATTGAAAATTGTTTCCATAACTTCACCAATACCAGCTTGATCATATCCAACTAATGATGGTTGAAATAAAATCTCCAGAGCTTGATGTCTTTCTACTCGAATAGGAATCTAAACAAATGTATGAATATCAATATCCGATTAGAACAAATTAAAACTAACAAATTCACAAAAGATAGGATTTATATGCATACATAAAAATAAGGGTACTCCTGAAGAATGCGCACCAAGATGTCATACAACCTGAATCCTAACCTGGTACACAACCTGAGTTCAGGTTGTGCGCCATCTTGGTGCGCATACTTCAGGAGGTCCAAAAAAAGTTTACACATCTTTCACTACACTTTCTAGGCAAAGGAATATCTAACCAGTTAAAGCTTCCATTCATATATACATGTATCGGGATGTTAAACCATGGGTTTCTGAAAGAAATAATTTCAGTGGCCACAATAAACATGATTTGACTCCAATGTTGGTTTTCCACGTCAACAAATTTTTCTTCAAACCCAATACCATATCTCCTCACCCAGAGTGTGGGAAATTAAGCAGGCTCATGTCAAATCAGAAAAGCTTAGTCACTTGCAAAATTATCGGGGCACGCCTAGAAACAACCCCGTTTAAAGCATAAGAGGAAATTTCAGAAAAAAAAATAAAATGGTACCTCTGTAGGAGGGAGTGGATTCTGTGATAGAAATGTCATTTCTTCGTGAAGCTTGTCAATTTTTGTTTGCAGCTGAGAAAAAAATAGAATTTGTAAGTAAGTTTATACTGTATCAACATGTACAAATCACAAGGTGAACATTTAGGAAAATTCAATAATAAAATTGAAATGTTCTGTTCGAGTCGGTTTTAACTGGTTTTGCCTCATAAAATGTAAATTTATCACAAAAAGGAAATAAACCACAATAATGACAATAAAATACAAACTCAGAAACCTTATGCATTTTCTTATTAATATCTTCTACTTCTGCATACCCAGCATCAGACATGGCCTTAGACATTGCATCTGGATTTTCGTCTTCAAGTTCGAGAATACATTCAAGATCATAATATCTGTACTCCAACTAGAAAATTAGACCAATTATTATTAGTTTGTGAATTATAAAAAACTTTGCAGTGTTTGTAAGTTAGATAGGATCTTTAAAATATTCCTGTGAAGGAAGTAACCTCATAAGACCATTGAATCATATGGCGATCTGTGTTTCCAACAACCACTCTTATCTCAATATCACTTTTTCAGATTTGGCAATAGCTAAGCAAATATAGTTTCAGATGCATGTTGAAAGCTGTAACTGATCACCACTTTTGAAAACCAACTTGTGTTGGCAAGTATGTAGCCTAGAAATCTTATAACACATAATGATATCCCAACAGTTACAGGATTGAACCTCAAACATACAAAATAGTAATAAACAGTGAGATCAGTATTATCAATGTATATTAGGACGCAAAAGGTTGAGCAGAATGGGTTGCAGTAAAAAGGCTTTTAAGAGCAGAATAAATGTTTCGAGCGAGCCTCTTGATAGTTGAGTACTATGTTAATATATATATATATATATAGAACTAGAAGGAATCCTACTCTCCTCAGCTTCTTCCCGAGTGAAATTGTTCGTTCACAAGGAGGATTCGTGATCTGTCCAGCTGAATAAAATATTACAGGATATAAGAGGGTAACATAATGCAATGAAAACAAAAATAAATCAGGATTTCAGCAAATGGAGTTGAAAATCAGGATTTCAGCAAAAAAAATTGAAGTACAATAAACAAATCTTTTTCCTTCACATAGTCTCTATTGTGAAACAAAATTCTGGATACAATTAGCTCCTCATGCAAAACATTGTAATAAACTAATAGGCAATCGTTTTGATCACATATTTGATATATTTTTGAAGTCAAATTTATCAAAACACTACCATTAACAAGAAACTCATTTTTTTGATGCTTACTACCATCCTACAGACAAAGAGTACGCAGGAATTTCAAGTCCGAGAAAGTGAAACAGATCAAAAGTATCTTCCCTGTAAAAAACAGGTAAGTTGGCTTACACATTGGGTTGGATTTCTCTGGAACCTGCATCATGATTGTGTTTTTTGAAATGAATTTCTTATCAGACCATTTCTTCATTTCGGTTATGTAGTCCAGAGGTACCTCACCTTTATCTCTTAAAAACTGATCCATTCTAGAATGAAAAATTAAAGGAATATTTTTACATTTTATATTAAGGTTTTTAATGGTTCCATTCTGATAAATACACAGGTCAAGCTTTAGAACATAATTTAACCCCAATTTTTTTTTCATAAATTTCATATCTGTAAAATACCCTTCCACTTATATGTTTTTCGGACAAAAAAAAAAATTACCTAGTCAAAGTGAAAATATTGCTTTGCTTCGGATATTTGAGTTGAAGAAGACGTTGCAGATATGCACCATTGTTATATCCACCAAGATTTATTCGTTTAACATTATTAATATCAAGATTTCCATCTATTATTGGAAGTATGTGTGTTGACTGAAATCCTACAAAATTAAATAAAGAGGTAATTAAAAGAAGTTGGCTAACCAAACAGGGTCCCAGAAACCATAAATACTCCGGTGGTCAATCATGATATAACTTCTCAAAATGGTTCTAAGAAACCAGGACAAAAAACTTTGTTAGTTACAAATACAAGTTACAAAAACAGTTACAAATACAAGTGTGCTTATTTAAGCTGGTTTGAATTATGAGGGAGAGAGAATGATGTGTGTGAGGGGATTGCTGGATGCCTTACCAATGCAATGTGTTCATATAACTGCTGGTCGGTAATGATCTTTAGAGCATCTGGAACGAATAGCAGGTCAACTATTCACATACCCAACCTGGACTAAGAACCAGACGTCATCAATTTTTCTCTCCTTAGTATGAATAAAAAAAAAATTCAATACAATTCTATTATATAAAATTTCAATATCCACCTGATGATATTAGCAATGCGCAATCACCCAAATTCAAAGATTCCTTGTTGTATTGATAACTGAAGAGACTGTCAATGCCATACATCAACTAGAAATAAATGGAATCAGACTGAGAAATGATGTTACAAACATTGATGAGAAACTACATATAATTGCAGAGGTGGCAGAGCAGTTGTCTCATGTTCAAGCACTCAATATCCCAGAGATCAACCGTAGCATACAATCTTGTAACAAAATGCGAAGCATATGTTGACCCAAACAAAAACAGAACCATGATAAAATTGATGGTAAAACGGGCCCTAAATTCAGTCTCACAATAAGTGAAATACTAAGTACCGGTATGCAGCTAACAGCAAAAATGTTGTTACAACATTTGTGACATAACAATACAATTGATTTGCAACAGCATGTTTCTCATTGATACAGACATTGTTCATATATCATTGATCCACATTCTTCTTTTTCATAATAACAACGTGAGCAACAACTCGTGTAGCAATACTTCAATAAAAAATTTAGTTGGTGAATGAATTTGATGAAGCACAAATTGGTAAAATGTCTACAACAGAGATTATTATTGTTCAGCTAATGGGTAGGAAAATCACCTTCGGAATGTTGTATGCCTCAAACAATAATTCTGACATTTGTTTTCGACAATATGCTGGATTTGCAACTGGTTCTGTTAATACAACAGGATGATGAATTCCACCTTCAGTGTTAATACCAAGATTACGAAATGAATGGTCGAATACAGATTCCTGAAAAACAGAATGTAAAATAAGTATAATAAATAGCAAGAACTCCATTCAGAGTGTGAATACTATACTCTAAAAGGCTTAATAAAATACCTAAATCTTTATTTTATGAAATTTTTTCACATAATTCTTCAACACATCAGTGTCTGATGCAACGTGCAACCATATTGCAATTTATAAAATGGACGGGCAGTTGCCTTGACATTGTAAGTTAGATATCTCATGTCTAGGCAGTAGAGAAAACTATGCCTGCTAAAACTTCACCGATATTTAATTGTATTGGACAGTTAAAAGAGACCGCTGATGCAAACCTAGTGCAGTACCCTATAAGAGGTTGAAGTTTCAAGGTGATCTTTAAGTTGTGGAAATAATACTCAAAAAGCATTGATGTGGAATCCTTTTCTGCACTTAACTAAATGCGGTAGTTACTCAATTCATGATTGCAGAGGCTCGCATTGACTCGCGACTTCAACAATATGTTCACTCACAATAAACTTGAGACTTGAATGGCCGATAACTAGATTGACTTGCGACCCAAAACTGTTCATAGTAATGATAAGGGAATGTGATATTTCTCAATGCTACTATCCATTCCAGACAAGTTAACGATCATAATATTCTTGTGAAACGAGATTGTATTGCAAAAGTGAACAAAACGGAATAAATCACAAAATACTACTGAAATATACAACAAAGATATACATATATATATTCATGAGGTCTCTCTACTCAAAAATTGTAGGATAGTACGTCACAAAAATACAAAACCACACAAAAAACGCATGCCAGCATCTGCTTATTATGTTAGTTGATTATACATCCGCTTTTCATAAATATTTGAAAAAAGGGTCACTAGATATGCATTTCGAGGAGCAAAACAAAGGAATATGACAGAAGACAAATTAATAATGTAGGTTGTTCTATTACGATAAAAATTTGGTTATGAATATATCCTAACCAGGTTGTTTCATTTTAATCAATATTTATTTACCGTAGGTATCATTACTTCATTTATTACACCCACCATTAGTCGTACAAAGCACATCAAAGTTCCTTCACCCACATTAATACAGGACTTTATAGAAACCATATACAATGACAATTTACCAGAAACCAAGTTATCATAAATTTTGAAACCTAATCATGCAAAGGCAATGATTTCATTTCACTCAACAATTCGCTACTACTTGGTCTTTGGGTGATACCACCATTCCAAGACTTTATAATCATATCTAAATACTTTTTATCGAATATGCTCTGTTCAAAAGAGTCAATGGAGATATCTGGTCGCTTGCCAAAAGCGACAATAGCAAACACAGCTGTATGCTGGTGCAGGCCAGGATAGGGACTTGTGCGTTTCCAAAGTTGCCAAGCAGTAATAGAAAATGAAAAAATATCTGCTTTCAGAGTTGGTTGATGACCTCTTAAAAGTTCTGGAGCACGATACATCAAAGTACCCATAAGCAAAGATTCTTGCTTTATTTTTCCACTTGTGTTGACAGACGAGAATCCAGAATCAGCTGTGGATGGTGTGCAAGATTCACTATTAAATGAAATTGTTGAATTGACGCTAAAAGTTTTTGAAGTCATTTTAACGAGCTTGCAAGAACCAAAATCACAGATCTTACAAGTTCCTTGTGATGTAACAACTATATTTCCTGGTTTCAAATCTAAATGGGCTAAACCTTTATCATGTAAATATGTCAATCCTTCTAAAATATCAATACAAATGTTTTTGCGCCTTTTTACTGTAATCTCTTCAGCTAAGTCATTGATGATTTGTAACAAGTTTTTGGTACCAGCATGCTCCATGACAAGAAAACTTTGACCTTTCGACCCAGGGGTCATAGGTGAATTTGGAGGTTGTACCAGAACCAATGAACGAACAAGATTTGGATGACTCAATCTAAGTGAAAATAATTCTCCAACAAAATTTTCAAACACTGCTTTCTTGTGCTGAAACTCTGATTTCATTTTCTTGATTGCGACTTTTTTACCACGATAGGTTCCTTCAAACACTTGTCCAAATCCTCCACAACCAAGTTTTTCATCAGTGATTAGCTCTGAGCCATCTTCATGCCAAAAATATAACTTGTCAGGTGGGCAGGTATCATTTGAAACCAATAATCTTGGTTTAGAATTTTCTTTGGCATTGCCGGAATCAGGCGTTTTGACACACTCTGTTTCATTCTTGCAATTCTTGGTAGATGATAACACACTGTCCGTATGGCTTGAGTTTTTGGCATCATTTGAAGTACAAGACTTCTTTGTTGAGAAGAAAGAGCCTGATGTACAAACTGCACCCCATTCTATCGGACTTTGTGTCATCCATGCAATTGGTGTTGAAGGACTCATCGAGATCCCACTCAAACGAAACAAGAGTGAGTCATTGAATTTTTGAGTAGGTGATGGACAAGGTGCAACCGAAGTACTAAAAATTTTATATATTTTTTTTTGTCGTTTAACAAGCTGCGTTTTGGGAGGACTCTTAATGATTTTTGTGAAATGCCGAGGAATGAAAGACCCATTACAACTACTACCAAAACGTCTCTGTCGTCTTAGTGTTAGTATTTGCTTATGTCGTAATTGCTTGGGTAACACTTTAGATGTAGACTCTTGAATTGGACTTGAAAAAAGGCCAGGGCTCATTACTTTAGAAAGGTGAGGTAAGGGTGAGTTTGATATTGAATACTGATGACTCTCCTGATTGAAATCGATCGAACTGTCCTGTAAATCTAGTAATGATGTCTTTCTTATAACATCATCAATTGATGTGGAATCACTAGTTGTATTATCATTGAATAATTCAATGTCACAACTTTCTACTGAAGTTTCCGGTATGGCACTTCCGCTTGATAGTTTTGATTTTCCTGCAAAGTCATCCATGAAATCTTCCTATCTTTGCAAGTAACAGACAATACTAGTACTTTTTCTAAATAGCAAATCTGGTGAAAAATGATATAAAACAGAATAAATTTTTCATCTTTACAAAATATGAGCCATACAATAAAAATGTTGAGAAACTTCATAATATTAATAAAAAACCAAATTTTATTGGAAAAAGTCTATAAAAAATTATTGTGAATCCTAATCACAATAACTTACTCTACAATAAAGTACCGCTGGTACTTTCAATTAATACATAAATATAAGACAAAAATACAGCGGCTCAATTTCTAGATGTCTAAACAAAACACAGCCATCTGCACACACAAAGGATGCAAAACCTTTTTGAGATTGATGGCTGCATTACAAACTTCATTTCACAGAGTGCGTGCAATAGATTGAAAAAAGTCATTAATTGGTATTGGCAAGATTTATTCCATAATACCCCATGCCGTGGTGTTCAAATTATAATAAGACAATTTTTGCTGTGTGTCAACTGTCAACTATTTCTCATCATGTTGCATCGCCACACTTAAATAAGCCTTGCATGAAATCAAAGACTGAAGATGATCATTCTTCCTGATCTGTAACTTTGCTTTTTCTAAGTTACTATACTGTTTCAGGCTGTCAGTCTCAATAGATCATGACTTGATGTAGGATAATCCAACAATGCTAATTACGGTAATACAATTCAGTTCACTCTTAAAACTGAAAGCAGGATTAACAAAATAAGTCTCACTCATGTTGCTTTTTCCTATCACAACATATTCTTCAACTGAATTGTATTTTTAAACGTAACTCAAGAATTTCCCTTCACTGGCTGATCAATGCCATTCAGCTTATAATTCATACAAGTCCCATCTGGTCCAATCACTAATACTGATGTCACATATGACAAGAGAGTTGCGCTCTTCAAAACCCAACCCAAAATAGATGAAATGATTGCAACGAAACAAGTGCACCATCTCATAAACTAAATTCCTTCTAGCTTCATGACACAAATATGAAAAAAATGCTTAAGTATGTACCGGTAACCCAGTATCACATGCTCTGCAGTACCAGTAGTTATAAAAGAAATAACGAGCAAGCATTCTTCCCAACACCATTCTCACAAAAAAATATCATTTTACAAGTCGATTCTCTCAGCTATCACAATACTCACCAGCAATGCCATCCACACTGTTGCTCAAAAACTCAGAAGGTTGTCAGAGACTGAGCAAGCAACCAAATGGCTTTCCAAGTCTCTTATTTTTTTACATAAAAACACTATAAAAAGACCGGATTCGAGAAGTAAACAGAAATAGTAATAGATACATTTCGTGTTATATAAAAACAACTAAATGATGCGTGAAAAATCATCATACATGAGATGACTTTAATAATTTCAACAGAAATCAAGGTTTTTTCTTGCCTTTTTGTAAATTCGATCATTCCACAAAAAACTGTTTTCTTGCATCACATCTCCCTCCTGTTCTTTTAAATTGCTTGTATGTATTGTCAATTTGTCACGATTTAGTTTTCATATCACTATTCGATTATTATTTCAGAAACACAAATAGCAAGTTTGAGCATTCGATTCCTTTTTGACATGAGATCTTTCGTTCATAGTATTCGTTGTGTTTTCAATCACACCATCGCTATAATTTTGAGTATAAACTGCTTGGTGAATACTGCCATCCATACTTCTCATACTGTGCCTACGGTAACTTAAAACCTTCACAAACAATACCCTTAATAATAGAAAAAAAAGAAAATAAATCGAAACCTACCTGAATTCCAAAATTGACAACAATGTTGAAATCAAATGCAGTTCTAATCATCCATCTGACAGCTTCTAAATCAGGAATATCATTTCCAACTAAAATATCCCAATCTCTATCTTTCCGGTTCCCTCTAAAAATATAAATATACCATATATATATATTATAAACATTACAGAGAATTGTCAACGGTTAACATGACACTACTTTCATACAATTGAACATCCATACATTAAATTTCTTAAAATGCAATGGAATTGTAAATCTGTAATTGTTTCTGAATTTGGCAAAGTATACCAAGCCACCTTGTCACCTTGCCTAGATTAGGTAGAAGAAATAAAGCTGAGAAGTATAGAGAACTGCTTTCAAACAAAAATAATCATAGTAATGTACAAGAAGTAGTGTTCACTTGTCCTCAACCTTATTCAGAGTGCACACAAAAAACAGAAAAAGTTTTCAAACAAAAACTGAGATAGTATAGATTAATGATCGAATGAAAACCATTCTTACCTGTTTTTGGCGATGACGTTTTTGAAAATAATCGATGGTTCATCGTTTATTGCCCATCCAGCACGATACTGATATGATCCATTGTCGATTATCAATGGGCAATCTTCAGTTAAATCTCTGGGATATTCACAAACTATATCTGGTGTGGAATTCCTATCCACAAACTCATATATGAAAGAACTTTGATTCTCTGTCATTGCATTCTATTTTTGTCTTTACAAAGTTGGTGGTTGGTTACGAGAAAGTGTGAGATTTTGATATTTCTCAATAACTTGTCTTTTGATTTGTAATTGTTGTTGGAGAGATTTAAGAACAGTTTCCTGTCTTTCTTTGGTAGAATCAATTCCACCAGTAGCAGCAATCTCCTGTTTTGCTTGATCAAATTTTCCTATCAATTCTTTCACTTTGTTTGTAAGACTGTCGATATCTTGACCAACTTCCAACCTGCAATAAAATTACATAAATGATATAAACATTGGATGAATAGCAACAATTAGCATTTATGTTAAAAAAGATTTATGGAACATAAAATGTAATAAGTTAAGAAAGAAAATTAATTAAATAATATATGTAAACTTTAATCATCATCAAGTCATGGCTATGACAGTATCAAGTCTTGAGTCAAACTTATGTTTTTGATAGCATTGAGTCAGAGCTATTTTTAGAAATACTCTGGAGTTAAAAGCTGAAAAAAACTTGAAATTTGTATTGTAGTTGAAATCACAGAGTGGTGAGCTGAAAATTTTTTTTCTAATTTAGAATCAGAAGCTACTGAGCTAGAGCACATTTTACACTAAATTGAAGACACAAGTTCAATCTACAGATCTACAGATGTACGTCAATTAAATTTTTCATAGCCCACAGTGATACAAAGCTTAAAATGAACTTCAAAACCTCACTCCAATAAACAGATAACTGACAAATCTGCAAATGTTGGGGCTGGACTTGCAGGCTTGATACATACTGACTATGTAGACTACTTACACTTTTATTACTGTATAAAATTGGTTGCTAAATTCAAATTTAGGCAATCAGGTTATAACTGTAAGATGTTTTACAGTTTTAGGTCTTGCAGACATACAGTACCGATACTGACTTATTTCTGTATTTATGCTTTTCAATGCAATAAACCTGTTTACAATGCTATTACAGTATTGACAGGTTTAAATTTACAAGCTACAGAGCTAGGTACATCAGTAGCCTACGGTACATGCTGCTTTGTCAGTTGGTCGACATTGACATTATTCTATTACTTAGAACTTATTTTCAGAATTTGTCATTAAAATACTGTAGTAACAGTCTGACAGTGGCTCGTTACCGTATACAGTTATAACTGTATAACAGTATAAAGGCAAAAGGTAAGGATTTTAGTAAACCTGTAAACAGTTTGACCCAAAACAGAACTTACTTGCTCAATATTTCATGAATTTCTGAGAGGAAAGTAACGTTAAAAGATTCATTCACTTCTTGAGCAATGATAGGAACATCCTCATTCATCATAAAACGATAAAATCGCCGGCACAAATGCACCTAATACAGTAATAGCCAGACGAACAATGAATCTGATTCTGAAATTTCCGCGCATTTGGAAACGAGAGAATAGATCGCTTACTAATATATGGGCGGGCACGTTTTGCTTATATGGGCGTGGTTAGCAGGCCGATTCCATGTGATTAATAATGACCAGTCAGTGTTAACTGTGTGATGTAACAATTAATTTTTTTCAGAAACAGAAAGCATGGTGCTGTGAGCGAGCTTGTCCGATACTCGTTTTCAGGTTTGTGTAGCCCACAACAGTTGATGTATAGAACGATGTTTCCTGAAATGAAGGGGCGAAGAAGAGTATATCAGTCAGTTTTTCAATCTTAGAAAATAGCCAGTGATTATAAGTTAAGTTTGAAAGAATCAGAACTTGTAATTTTAGTGGTTGTCCATTGTTTTGAATTCAAACTTTCCTATCACGGCGCCTGCACAAACATTATAGTCTAATTTCTGTTCTTAATGCTTCTTCGCTTACCGTTATCATTTGTCACAGTAGTAAATAGTTTGACTCATATACTAATTTATGTGATTAGATATTTCGTATTGTGTTTGATATGCGGGAGAATCGCAAAGAATCTCGCTTCGTAACGAAGGAACTGTTATAAACTCGGGATGGTAACATCGCGTCGGCACTGCCAAGAATGCTGTTTCAATCGCTAAGGTTCAGATGCATCTAGAGTTGACGTGTGTCAATCTGTGATTCAGTATGGCGACCGCAATTATATCCTTTCATATTATACTTATCTATTATATACTTTTGTTTGAATGAGAAATGTATATTCATACATAGCCTACATATTAGATACTTTGCTATGATATAGCCCTGGTATTCATTTTTATAGTATCATTTATTTTTATCCATGGTTCAAATTATTTTAAACGCGCGTTCTTAAAAGTGAAATGTTTCATATATTACTCAGGTTAACTATTCTTGTTTCAAATATTTCCGTTTGCCACTGTCAATAGATTATTAAACACGATCAAATAGATAAATTTGTTTGAATGAATATATACATATGTATTGCTATGTGTAGATTCGTTTATTTTAAAGAATAAAATGATAACTATTTTTATCTGAAACCGTCCGTAGGAGGTGTTATGTACTGCTTGCTCTGCCATCCAAGTGTATGCATCTGGAATGATTATAAGTCACCTTTTCTAAAACTTGGAGTGATAATCGGAAGATATGCCGATCAATGTTTGCGCTTATAGAGTTTTACTCAATAACACCACGCGCACTCACTAAGAAAAAATCGTATTTGAACAAAGCCCCTGAATAATAAGAATTATTATAAATAAATACTGTACTGTAATTTATGGTAGTAGACATTAGTGATACAATATAATGAATTAATGACCCAAGTAAATGCCTGCCTGTTGACGAGAAACGTGCAACAATATGATCAGGGAAACAGTCAATTGGTATTGGTATTTCGCACCCGTAGATTTTTACATTTTATCAAATATGTTACAGTATATATTGAAAATCGAGATTGGTTCCAACTAATTCACAGAGTTTAATCTGGCTAGTTCGTGCTTGCAAAGCTCACTATTCATTACAAGCAAACGTTCCAAATTATATACCCGTTTTGCGGTGGTGTCTGGTCAATACACATCAAATCACATTAATTAGTCATGAATAAATTAATTATGCTTGAGTTAACTAATCTCACACGAGAAACCGTCTGCGATAAGGAATTATAAATTTAACCTAAACAGGAAAAAAACATAACTCGACTAAGGAAAACAAAGTGGTTTACGCCGGGGAAAGTCATGGCCGCCGGCAATTTTTGTTGAAGTTTTTTTTTACTTGATAACATGGTCAAACATGATTGAAATAAAATTGCAATTTTGTCTGAATCATAAATATTCAGTGAACGTCAGCCTTGAGTGCAAATGTCCGTCAAGTTTCCGACAATATATATATGTCTTAACACAGGGGTCGGCAACCTTTTGTCGTTCGCGAGCCAAAATTAAGGGTTGCAAGTCTGGGCGAGCCGCACATATTTTTAAAAAGTTAAAACTTGAACGGATGGCCGATGAAACACAATTTTTTCACACAGATCAGAAGTTTAAACAGCGGGAGAATACTGCGACAACTCGTGAACACAACTCAGTAGTTTTACTAAAAAATATTTGCAAATGACATTTAATGTGACACTTGTTGTTGCATCACGTATTGCATATTTAAATTGTAGTCTCGTTAAACGAGTAGCTGTTCACTAAATTGTTAGGTTATGATAAAACTTAATCTACACATGTCTCACAATAAATTCTGTTACGTAAAGAATATGATCAACTCCTCAAGCGGGAATTTAATATTAATTCATCGTCAAAACCGCCGTTTTGTCGCTATATAATTCAGTGAAGCGTCGCGGGCCGAATTATTGTACTCCGCGACGTCCGCGTGCCGGATCTGGCCCGCGGGCCGTAGGTTGCCGATCCCTGGTATAGTGTATAGGCTACTATACTTTGCGGTTTGGAAACGCATACCTGTTCTTTAATTTGTTTCTTATTATTGTCAGCCAAGAGTTGGTATTAGTAAATATTTTATCATAAGAAAAATTGTATTGTGCCGTAGCGAAATGAAGTCTTACGTTTTTGGGGTATAAGACTGAGAAGAGGAGGCTTGTATTTCGACTTCAAGTCAGATTCAGATTCAGATATTTATTTCCGTCATGCAAGAAATATTGTACAAATAAACAGTAAAAATAAATCGAGAGAAGAAATAACAGACGTACAATAATTCGACTGCAATAGACGAGGAGTCGCGAATAAACTATAAAGTTAACGTGTCAGCGACACCTAAATAGCTGTAAATAGCTGTCATCATCTTGTGTCGGCTTGCAGGACTCCTTGCCATCATGGTACGAATATTTAAGGTTACAGCTACAGCTTCATTCACTATTCACGTATTCTGAAACAACTTTTCACCATCAGCGGACGGGTGACGTTATCAAGATACAAAACGACATAATATTGAAATGAATGAAACCTAAAATATTAGTCTGTATTTGGGTACTACAATGCAATGTTTATGCACCAACTGTGCGGCGGGAACAATAAAATACATAAACGGTTCAAACAACAAACTGTAAATCAGACTTTTAACAGTTGAAGCTGCTCGAAAACCATCACTGGTTTATCGCGTCTCCCTTCACACTGAAACGTACTTTTTTTTTATCTTATTTATGTTTGTCCATTGTGTACTTTCCGCATGTGATAAAACAAACTACTGACTGACTGACTTAATGCACTTTCACATTCACATGTTTCATCACTCTTGTCAAAGTATCGTAGATGGGATAGAATTTACATATTTATCCCAGGGGTTCGATAAGACGGATTAATCATGTGGCAAACTACGCCTCTCGACCGGTTACCAGTCCATGTCGGATATGGGGGTTAGTTAGCCGGTTATTTGTTTTTGGAAGTATGGACTTGAAGGGGGGAAAGTCGAAGTAACCGATCAGCCTCTACGTCAGGGTCGGCAACCTTTTGTCACTCGCGGGCCAAAATGTAAGGTTGCGAGTCATTGGCGGGCCGCACATATTTTTAGAAAGTTAAAAACCGAACGGGTGGCTGATGAATCACATATTTTCACACAGGTCAGAAGTTAAATTTTAAGCAGCGCGCGAAGATTGACCATTTGGATATTTTCTGCGCCGTTAAACCATTTGTACTTAGCATCATCTTTTCCTCGTTTTGTTGCTATTTGTCTAATTATAATTACATTATAGCTTTATAGGCTCATTAAACGAGTGATTGTGAAGAATATACTTGTTAGGTTAGTCTCAAATCGTCAAAACAGCTGCTTTGTTACTATAATTCAGCGAAGCGTCGCGGGCCCGATTCTATTACTCCGCGGGCTGTAGGTTGCCGAGCCCTGTTTTAACATCTTTCTCCGAGGCAATTGCTGTGTGCAGTTTTGATAATATGCACTTTTTCTGGTATTAACCACGGAGTTGTTCTTCAAAGGTTATGTACCAGCATCGTGTCACTGAAACCTAGCCAGCTCGAAATACACTATAGCCGTATTGTCCGTCAGAATTTTCCCAGTCACACGGTGACGCCAAGATACATTGCAGATAGGGCGGTGGAACACCGCGGAAGTCATGATTAGAAATTTACATATTGGTCGTTGTCCCTGCGTGCCATTTCGTAGGTGAGTTCCGCATAGTAAAGTGATATCAGAATATAGTAAAGGTGTACCGGTACGGTACTATAACTTTCGATTAGAACTAGTTTCCTTTTCGTCAATAATTGTTTCTGTCTCACAATACATTACAAATTTTTCGTCTCTTGGTGCTATTCTGTATATGTGAAAATAGACGTAATAATCCTGTATCCTGTACAAATCGATGTAATACCGGTACCGTAGCTTCAGTATTCTGGTATTACGGTACGTTAGATAGTTTCTAATTTCTGAATATATCTTATGCTTGAGTTTTTGTCACGGCTTTCTGTACCGGTACCGGTATTTGTTACTGTATTTTGTATTTAATGCCAGAATGTAGGACTGAGCAGCAATACTGCAATAAGAGCACCTGAATAATGAACATAGTACGGTACCGGTAGTCTAACAGAGATTTGTTGTCGTCAGTCCACATGCAGACATGCCAGCATGTAGGAAATGTACATCTCACATGACAGGAAAAGAAGTTTGGGACTGCAGTATTAATATGCGGATATCAGGATATGGTAGTTGGCCAAGACAATAAATACAGAAATATGAATAAACAAGATGGGTCCTTGTTTTCCCAAAGCTTTTTGAGAGTTTTTCAATATTTATTCTACTTGAACATAGTACAGTAGTATGCTACTTCCCATTTCTACTCTCTTTCTTTTCCAAACATAAAAATAATTCTTGTTTTTTTCTTGTTAAAGTAAATTTATTCAACTAGTTTATTTGCATCATGGGGGACGACGGACACTCTCTCCATGCTTTGGAAAACATTATGACAGAATTTTTTCATACATCAACATCAAATCATAGAAAAAGAGAGATTGAAGAACAATTGGATCGATTCGGACAGCAGAAAGGATCGTGGAAACATTGCCTATATTTTTTTAATCGCACATCGAATGAATACGTCATGATGTATTGTTTGTCAGTTCTGGAAAATCTAACTAATAAAATGTGGATGGGTGTGGACGTTAATGAGAAAACCGAAATACGTGCCAGTTTGTATCGCATATTGATTGAAAAACATAAAACTGTTGCTCCATTTATCAAGAAGAAGCTTCTGAAAGTGATTGTTGATATTGGTCGACTTGATTGGCCAATGTTTTATCCAGATTTTTTCACTAATATAATATCACTAGCATGTCCACCAAATGATGAAGAGACCCGGACAATGGGTTTGAATGCTCTTCGTATTATCTCAGAAGAAATGGCATTACCTAGAGAAGATCTGCCACATCAGCGAAAGAAAGAACTCAGAAGATTTCTTCTTCAGCAAGCACCTGGAATTCTACATATCATTTCTGACACATTAGAAAAAGAATGGAAAAAACATTCCCGCGTTACAGATAATGATTCGAATATATTTATTTCTTCATCTCCACAGCAAGTGAATTCAACAGCATCTGATCTTATGGGATTGTTTGAAATGGGTGATTCAGACAGTCTTGGTTATTCATCTGAAACATTACCACCATTTTTGCCTGAGAAATCACACAAATTGGCTTTAGAAGCTTTGGAATGCCTGTGCCATTTATTCAGTTGGATACCTTTGTCATCCAACATTTCATCACGATTGTTAAATGTGTTATTTGCTTACACACGATTTGGTGTTCATTCATCTCTGATTACAAGCAAAAATTTTGGTCAGCATTCCAATATGCCAAATTTACCTCTTGGCACTCTAGCAATGACATGTATAAATGAACTTATGGCAAAAAATTGTATCCCTAACAATTTTGAAGACTATTTACTTAGGGTGTTCAAGTTTATTTTCCATTTTCTCAAACATGTGACCAAAAATGAGAATCCGAGAGCAGATTTGGAATTATTGGATGAGGATTATTTGGAGAAGTTTACAGAATTTTTGAGACTGTTCGTCAGTGTACATTTTATTCGTATTGAAAGTAACTCAAACTTTCCTTTATTGGAATTTTTGGAACTCTTGTTTAAATTCACTTTCAACCAACCAATGTTTGATGGTTACTACAATTGTTTGGATATCTGGGAACTATTCCTAGATTTCCTCAGTAATAAGTTAGAAGGAAAGGCGGAAGATGCTCGTATGATGGTTCTTGCCCCCTATAAAGAAGGTTTACATTTGCTTGTGAAATTAATTATGACTCAATTACAGTATCAGTTCAATCAGAACAGACTTGAAGAATTGGATAATGAAACACTTGATGATTCAGGCCACACAGAATGGCAACAATTTGTGATCGAAAACTTGGAAATTGTAGCCAAGATATGCAATTTTTTTCCATCTGATACATTATCATTATTATATCCAATATTAGAAGAGAATGCAGCCATTTACCTTGAGTTAGGTAGGCATGTTCTACCAGTTAATCAAAATTTATATGTTAAAACCAGCGATTTTATGAACAGTCCGGCTCACAATCCAAACCGCCAATTCAGTATTCCTGGCTCTAATGATTCGCTAAATCGTATTCATTGTGCATTGAAAGACCTTTCTACAGTTTTACAAGCATTAGGTCGCTTATCGGAATATTTCATTGGAGAACATTTTCTGCAAAGGACAGAAGCCATGTCACTTATTGATAAATTTTTGACTATTTCTGTTTTCGGGAGCAGAATAAAGTTGTATGAAATGCAAGCAAGAATACCAACTGTTTTGTACTCTGATGTTATAGAGGTGCATGTCCAATCTCTTGCAACCCTTCAACCTTTCACTCATTGGCTATTTCAGCTGTATACAGATTCTCAACAAGCTGGCCACTCTCAAGCTAAATTAGAAGATATCATGCAGGGATATTTAAATGCTCTTATTCCAATGCTCAGTCCGGAAGTCCCTGACAAGTTGGTACTTCCTGCTAGCCACACCTTGTTATCTGCCATAAACACCATTCGTGCAGCATTCCTCCTGAAGTCGCCCATCATTGACAAGTTATATAGTGACGTTGCTGGGGGTTCATGCGGTAAACTGTCAATAGAATCACAAAAATTGGTGTATCGGTCTCTATCTAATTTGCTTCTTCTACCCTGGCCAAATACACCAGATTTGGAGCAATGTTGGGATGCAAGACAGCAAAATCATTCTGCATTCATCAATGCTTTGCTAAAAGAATTTCTGTCATTGAGTGGTAGAATTCAAATGGTTATACAAAATAAAGTTGAAGCAAAACAAATTATTATTAAATCACTCCATATTCTTGAAGATCTTGTGAATGCTGTGGGAGAAGAAATTGTCAAAACGAGACAGATATGCCATGTATCCCTGCAATCTTCTATAGAACTGTGTCTTGAGTTATTCCCTATTTATATTGATCACCCTGAAGTTACAGAATGTCTAATGGGATTTTTTCTCGCTGCTTTTCGGGGACTTCGGTCCCAAATGGGTCATGAAAAAACTGTGCGAATGATACAAACTTTTATGAAGGTTTTTACACCAGATGTCCTGGAGAAAACAATTATGCATGAAAATTCTGCAGGAGTGAGAGCAGTCGAACATTTTATTAAAATTTTAGAGCTTGTTATTGATGAGTCGACAACAACATTCAAATCTCTGACCCAAAGCATCATAACTTTGGCAATTGATCAGATATACCCTGTGGTTGCACAACGTCCATCACCTGATGTGAAAGAAGCACTTTTCAGTCTACTATTTCACATTCTGTCACGCAAAAATCGACACTTTTTTCCAGCACCTGTGCTCGCTTCCTATCTTACAGGTGATAAGGTTGGTGTGCTTAATCATAAGAAAGACTTTCTTGCTATTATGCAAGCATTTGGACAGTCATTTCTGCAGCCTGATATCAGTATATTTCGTCACAATTTAAATGCCCTTGATAATCTGAATTTAAAACAAAAATTGTATGAAAAAATTTATAAACTTCTGGCAGATGAGAATATATTGTTTCAGTTTATCACTGTGTTAATTCAAGCATTGGTTCAAAAATCACACGATTTATTGAAGGAAGAAATTTATTCGACAACTTGGAATATGGCGGAGGTTGATTTCGACATTTTTTACAATAAATTTTTGCCCCAATTTTTAAGAAACTTGGATGGTATTACACCAGGACAAAAAGACACACTTTATAAAAGTTTCAATAAGGAATCTGATCAGCCATCATTTGTGTTATGCTTACAAAATTTTGTCAATGATCTGAGATATTTCTATTTATGCAATGCTAGTTTGCCAGAAGGTACTGTTAATTTTAACTAATAGAGATTAGTTACGACCCAAGTCTTCCAAGATATAATATTTTTTAAACGTGCATAATATAATCAGGGAGGATGAATGATAAAATTGCTTTGTGTCAACAAAACATATTTAGTCCAATATTTTAATGAGTAACTTGTTATTGACTTGACCTTATCTCTAAGCTGTAATTGTTGACTACATGAGGACCTAGAACTATAGCGACATCTCAGACATATCAACCAATATTTTTCACATGATAAATGTTTTAACGTTTATCATCAATCCTCGTATGAAACTACAGATGAGTGTGGCGCTTTTGTCTCAAAGTTCATTTCAAACTTGAAACAATAAGTCTATGCAGATTGCGTAATTTTTTTTTTGAGGTAATGCCGGAGTTTCGAAGAAGAGTTAAATTTACATATTCTTAACCTGAGAAGTACAGTACTCAAATTGTGTATTTTTTGTGTTTTACTAAAATCACTACTTGAAGATGCTTAATTGTGTAATTGAGTAGGACTAAACTGAAATCTGTGTTGATTGACTCAATGTTAGCACCTTTTTTTTCACTACTTTGAAGTAAAATATAAAGTACAAACAATATGATTTTTCTCAGTATATTAATTTATATCTCCCGTTCCATGTTTTTTATTTTCTTTGTATACGTTCCTTAGTCGTTATATTTTTTTCTAATGTATTGAGCATTCATTGTATTTTCCAATTATTTTATCATAATTCAGGCATCACAACTCTGTTATAAATTTGAATAATTTGTTCATAAGTAGGTCATTTATTGCTTCATGTTATGACGCGCGGCAGCCCTGTATACCTAGATGATTAAACCAATGAGTTAGTCATCTTGAATGCATCAAAATTCTTCTTTTGAAATGCAATGTAATTTTTATTGCTTTATCGCCATCTATTTTGATTTGGCCACTATGATTCATCTGATAGAGTTTAATTTGTGTGTGTGTAGGTAGTACAGGGTAACAATAACCTGTCATTTGGCGCAGAGTGTAGATTGGCAAGCTTGTCATAAAATAATTTTCAATTTAATAAATAGTATCACAAGACTTCTACTCTTTTATATATCTTATGTAATCAATTCCACATATTTCCTGAACTAGGAAGTTTTGATGTTGATTCGTTGAATTAAAAAATTTTTGGAGGAAAAATGAGGAAGGTGATGATGCAAAATTTAACAAATCATTTCCCACTATTTGCTCATTGTTAAATATCTTGTGTAATCTAGCAATTGTCTAGTGTTTGATCTAATGAAAGGATAGCATTAAATGAAACATGATGATTCTAATTTGCTACTATATCATCTGTATGCAGTTATTTCATGATTCATTCTACTTGAATAGCAAATCCTGGACTTGGAAGTCAAATATATATGATTCCTAAGATTCAGATTTTTATATTACATTTACTATATACAGGTAATAACAGTTTTATTTTGACCATTATAACTAATTAATAACTAATCGTTTTTTCTTGTGCATGTGCCATTTGTTAATTTTTTATGTAATAATTCCATGTACATTTTTAATGTATATTATTTCATGTATATCTGAACTATGATATATTCATCCGCATTCAATATCTCGCTTTCAAACGTTTTAGAGTTGTTCAATTTCGTATTTATTCTAAGGATGGGAAAGCTAAGCAGCAAGAAAGTTTAATTCATGGAAATGCCCAATCTGTAGCAAAACTGATTGTCAAGATATGGATATGGTAGGAGTTTCCCAGCAGGAAGGAAAACAGGTATGGCGGCCGAATACTATGGCGAGCCCATCGTCCGGTTACTGGGTAATTTCGGGTATGGTTAGCCACTTCTTCCTTAAAGATGATGCATGAACTGTATGGTGGGGGAAATCGAACCGTGACCTGCCAAATGGGAACAGATACCGACAACGAAGTTTCAGATTATTTGGCTCAATGCTAGTGATTGACAATATGCATCTGCGTGTTTTGGATATGTTCTTGTCACGTAAAGCTATTCATATGTAGAATAAGGTCTTAAAGTCGTTCAGTTGATTCATGTTTCTATGGTGTAAGTACAGCTGTTACTGTTGTTATTATGCCTTGGATGGCACATCATGAGCGATTACAGTAGTTTCTGTGCCGGTGAATAAATTATCTAATTGGTCTCTCTCACGGGATGCGAAATCCGTGTTCGTCCTTGATAGGTTTTCGGAATGCGATATAAATTCGAGATATTGGCTGGAACATTTTTAAATAAGCACAGTAGAAGGAAAAGGGGATTCGATTTACATATTTATCCTGGAGGAGAGAAAAGTCGCTAAGGCGGATTAATCATGTGGCGAACCACAGCCACTCGGTTGCCAGTCCTTGTCGGGTATGATGTTAGTAAGCCAGTTATTGGACACGTTAGTGGACATAACGATCGTTTTGGTATTTTTGTTGTTCTTGTTCTTATTTGTCTTCTTCTTGGTATCGTTATGAAAAAATCGCTTTTCTCGTTGATTACTGGACCAATTGCTTTGAAATATTCAGTGAGTAAAGATTATATTTTTCCCCAGAAGGCTATTACTTTTATAAGTATAATAAGTATAAGTTTATTTCGACTCCATAATCAGCATAACAATACATTTGACAGATAAAAACAAATAAATAAAAACTGATTATGAAATCAGGGGAGCAAACAAAACCTTAGATAAGGTTTATAACGTACAAAATAAAAGATGGAAGGTTTTGCCAAGAGGAAGTGGTACGTGTTTACTCACCCAAAATTATTAAGTTATTTCACACACGCTCACATGCACCCACCAGCCACACACACACACACACACAACCACTGAGAATTTATTTAAGTAAGAATAAGACGCGATAAATTTAGGGTATACTATACAGTAAACAAAAAAAATAAATAAATAAATACAAGAAAAGAAAAAAAAAAAAAATTTTCTGCCACACCATATTGATATTTTTGTAATGATTGCCATTGCCAAATTGATCGATCTTCTAATCGTTAATTAAGATATAAAAGGAAGATTCTATTGAAAACATATTGCCAAGCTGATTATAGTTGGAGTCAAATGCCAAGTTGCCCAACCAAAGTTGCCAGAATTGGGTGCATGAAGAGGTGGGCGAGACCATTTCATTCCCCAAATTAGAGCCTATTATTGCCAAATTATAGTCCAGATTGTAGTAAGTAATTAAAGTTACCGGTAACACTAAAATTACTATAATTAAGTGAAGTAGGATATGGAAATAAATTGGTTACAAAGGGTGTAAGTGAGGTTTTTCATTCTTGAGTATTGATTTCAGACAAGGATATAGGAATAAGGTTGTTATTTCACAGGATATCGGAGTCTTTTTTTGATTTTTTTCTTATGTGTTTTACTTCATTTAATCACTTTGAAGTAACCTGAAAAACAAAAAATAAAACTGCGAGTAGATGTTTCAATGATTGGGTGAAGGGGAACGCTCTGAACTATTTATTACAGGCAAAAAATAATTGTTTAATTAAATGGGATGTATTGTCATTGTATAGCGATGGATAGATGATCTATGATGACATTCTGCTTGGGACAGAGAAAAATTTATCACACCATGCAAAAAACACACAAAATTTTACTATCTATACCTTGGCCAACAAGTCAACTCAAACACCATGCCTTAACATAAAACGCATGCATACATAAATGATATAAAAACCACATCCAATTACAATGACCCACAGCAAATTAAAATCTGAAGGGGAGAAACCAACATAGCTCTACTGCTCGCCTAGTTGCAATAATTAGTAACCTTGCAGGAACAATATTGTACTATCTACAACCCTTATACCACCACTCAAACATAAGACCAAGCGTGTATGATAAGGACATCACAGCTAGAAAAAGATAAAAACACGAGCGTGAAGTGATAGAATGTGTGCAGTTATTTAAAGAAAATATCATCCGGGTACGTTAGCTACCTATATATTTAAAAAAATATATATATATACTCAAGCATGTCACAATACCATTTCTTTGGTGCTGGACTAGTTCTGGCCAAGTCAGGGCAAGATATAACAATATTATTATAGCTGTTCAACATTTTCATTAAAACAATAATGTGCAAGTGTGGAGTGTCCCAAGTTTTTGTCATCGAATACCACCAGTAGTAATTTTTAATATTTGGAAACTAAATGAGACTTGACTTGTTTTTGAAAAGATTTTTTGGACTTTAAGGTCTTCAAATTTAAGGGAAGAGAATTCCAAAGTTTGGGTCCAGTAAAAGACAAGGAATGCTGACTCACGGATTTACTCATGAAAGGTACGAATAAATCAGAACTGCTTCTTCGGTTGGAGGTATTTTTGACAAGTATGTCATTAAAGCAATTGGGCAGCGCATTATTATGGAAGTCGTGAGCTAGAGATAATATTTCAAATTTCATCATATCTTCAACCTTAAGTATATTTAGTGATTTGAAGTAAGATTCTACACTTTCACGTTTTCTTTTACCAAAAACTATTCTTAAAAAATTATTACAAATACTCTGCAGTTTTGAGACAAGTGTTTTATTACCATGAAGCCAGACTGAACAACAATATCGAATATGGCTAAGTAGTAATGATTGAAACATTGCTAGTAGAGCTGATTGATCAACACACTGGGATACTTTGGCAGAAACTGCTAGGTTTCTTTTTGTTTTACCAATAACATGCATTATTTGTGATTTCCATGACAGATTTTCATCAAAGATAACTCCTAGAAATTTTATTTCTTTCACTCTTTCAATTTCATTGCCATTGAGCAGTAGTTTTTTTTGAACAACTCACACTTTTATGCTTGCTTGGATGGAATAATACAAATTTAGTTTTGTTAGCATTCAGAGATAATTTATTAACTAACATCCAGCTACGAATGTTGGTTAGTTCTTGGTTTGCAACTGTGAATAGATCTTCAAGGTTTTCCCCATGAAGAATCAAGTTAGTGTCATCAGCAAACATGATCGACTCAGAGGATTTCAGACACCTGGACATGTCATTAATGTAAGCTAGAAAAAATAATGGGCCAAGTAAAGATCCTTGTGGAACTCCGTGCTTCATGACACAAATATTTGTAGAGAATGAGTTGTCATATTGCACAATTTGCTTCCTGTCTTGAAGGTAGCTCTTGATCCAATTGAATGGAACGCCTCTAATTCCATAGTGATAGAGCTTACTTAAGAGGATGGAATGGTCAATGGTGTCAAAAGCTTTTGAGATATCAAGAAATATTTCAATTGCATGTTGTTTGTATTCAAACGCATTGGTCAGTTTGTGTACCAAAACATTAGCAGCCATAGCAGTGGAGTGATGCTTGCGGAAACCAAATTGATGCGAGTGGAAAACATTGTTAGTTTCAAAGTAGTTTGACATTCTACTATACATTATTTTTCAAGAATCTTAGAAAATGATGGTAAAAGACTAATAGGTCTATAGTTTCCAAGATCTGAAACACTACCCTTTTTAAAGAGAGGAAGAACTTTGGATGTCTTGAAGCTTTCAATGAATAATCCACTAGATAGTGAAAGATTAAATATATATGTCAGGATATCAATAATATGTTCTGGAACATATTTCAATATTTTAAATGGAATACCATCGATTCCAAAACTTGACTTGGGCTTCATATCGCGTATAGTATTTTTTATTTCTAATGATGTAGCTGGCCTTAAGAACATGGATGAGGATTCTTGCTTCCCAAGATATGAAATGTAATTTTTGTCACAGCCAGCTGGTTGTGGCATACAGTCAAGCAGGCTTTGTGCCACTTGGGAAAAGTGTTCATTAAATTTATTTGCAGTTTGTGTATTACTGCAATCAAATCCAATCAAAGGACAAGAATTTGTTTTATTTTTACCAATAAGTTCATTAATTGTTTTCCACACTGCCTTGATGTTGCCTTTGTGAGAAGCAAATTTAGATTTGTAATAATTTGATTTCTTTTTGTGGAGCAATCGAGTATAAAGGTTCCTGCATTCATTGAACTGTAATTTGTGCTTGTCATTTATGTTTTTATTGTTTATTAATTTCTTATAAAGTTTTTGTTTGACTTTGTTGAGTTTGCGTAACTCAGTATCATACCAAGGTTTGTTTGATCTGTCTGTCTGTTTTTTGTAAGGAAAAGATTGAGAGTAAGCAGTGGAGAATTTTTCAAAAAAAATTTCAAAGCAAGTGTTGGGATCCTCGATGCTGCTGAAGTCATCAATATCAATAGAATTCAGTTCATTCATAAAAGTATTCAAGTTGGACGAAGTAAACTGGCGATAAAGCGTTTCAATTCTGGTCTGAATTTGCTTTTCTAGAAGAGAGCATTGTACAATCGGCAGATGATCAGAAACACATTCTGCTAAAACAGCACTGTTAATTTTTTTATCATATACGTTTGTCCAGATGTGGTCTATACAGGTAGCAGAACTTGAAGTTATCCTGGTGGGGCAGTTTATCAAAGAATAATAGGCCATGTTGTGCATAATATCAACAAATAGGCTGGTATTCATATTGGACTCATCAATAAGATTATAGTTGAAGTCACCCATTATATAATTATAATTCAACTTGTTCATCTTTGAGAGAACTTGGGACAAGAGATTCCGAAAGTTAGCATTGTTCAATTCATCAGTTAGTGGTGATCTATAAATAGTACCGCAGGTTATTGTTTTATTTTCCAATGATATGTCAATGAATATAGATTCAAAAACCTTTTCGCACATTATAGTAATATCTTTGCGGACAATGTATTTCAAATCATTTCGAATGTAGAGACCAACACCACCACCTCGGTGATGAGATCTACTATTAGAGATAAAAACATAGCCATCCAGTGCATTGAAATGGCCATTTGTACCAGATACAATCCATGTTTCATTTACAGCAATTACATGAGGCTTACAATTCAGTGAATTAACTAGTGCTTCAAATTTTGTGAAGTTTTTGAAAGAGGCTAAAGATCTGATATTGATGGAGAGAGTCATGAAACCACTTAGTTTAAGGCTGTCGTTGAATTTAAGGGCATTGACATCACTGGAGCAGATATATTGATTTGAGCAATTGTACAAGAAAACACTATCAATGTTGTTGAATTCATCAGTATCAGTATTGGCTGATTCAAGAAACAGTTTGTTGAGGTATTCAGGATCAAGAATTTTGGCAAGTGCCTGGGCTTCAGCTTTTTCTTTATGAAGGGGAACAAATAACTCAGATATTTCAGAATCAGAGAGACAAGAGAATGGCATACAGTCTATTTCACAAAGGAAACAGCACCAAGGTATTTCATCAGCTTCAGATTCAAGGTTTTCATATTGTTGTCCAGAAATATTGGTACATTTTAAATGTATCCAAGAAGAACAAATGTCACAATAAAGACCTTTTTGATTGATTCGAACTGATTTGTGGCAATTTTTACATGGGTATTTTAAATTAGTTTTCATGGCAGTGGCACAACAAAATAAAAGTAAAAATGAATAAATAAGTCAAATATCTAGTCTGGCTATATAGGTTTCCAGATGTTTGAAAGATGGAGAACCATTGATTAGACAGCACTAGCCTATTTAAATAAGAAAAATGGAGATTAGGAATGAGTTAATCGTTCCCCGCTGCTCATAGGCTACCGCTACGTCTTGAGGTTGGTCCCACTGAACGGGCAGCAGCCTTGGAGTAGAGGGGACGAGAGAGAGTAGTGATATCATTTAAGGAAGATATTACTCGCCTTTTATCTAGGTAAGCGTAGATAATCCCATTCATTGTGCTCACTTATTGTTTTCCGAAGGCTTCCTTGGCAGCGCTGAGTAGCTTGAGCCTGCTACGGGTCAAGGACTTAGTGATGGACAATCCGCTGCCTTTGAGTTCTTTTTTTCTACCATACACCATATTCTTCGTTGATCTTCTGACGAATTTGATGATGATGGGGTTTTTCGGAGATCTTGATTTTAATTTGTGAGTAATATCAATGTCAGTGTTCACAATAGGATGGTTGGGTTTAAGGCTGTCGTTGAGAGTTTTCACTACGAAGTCTTCGAACTTATGGTATTCAGTTTCTGGCACAGAACTACAGCCATGGAGAATCACACAGTTTCTTCGGCTGTATTGTTCTAAATCGTCCTGTTGCTTTTCACAAGTCTCCAGCCTGCTAATAATCTCCTGGATCTTGGAGGAGATTTGAGCCACGTCATTCTGGAACTTAATGATATCCTGGGACTGGTTGCCATGGTTTTTAGAGGCAGATAATAGAGTTGCATGTGACATTAGCTCTTCTTGCTTGGCCTGAAGAGATGAGATAGCTGCCAGAATCTGGGTTTGGACTTCCTTGTTCATCTTTAAGTAACGTTAGTGCAGTAGTGTGATTGATTGCAAGGTAAAATTAGGTAGGTATGCAGATAGTATATCCAGTAAGATCCACTTACAATAATAGTACAGAAGGTAGTAGGCTATCATACTTTCAGTCTAATCAAAGATTACAATAACATCTGCAAACTTAAACGGAGAATAAATTTATTCTTAAATTTTATATGAATCCTATGAGATATGATATTTCATACAAAATTTCGCGGTATTTATTTTTACTCATGGGAACACTGTTTTACACTTATTTCAAGCGGTTTCGCGATCGATTGTCTTGCTCAGTACTACAGCTACTGTAGGTCGGTACTGGTAAGTTGCCATACCGGTACCGTAACGCAGTGAAATTGACTTATTCCTTCCGCGGTATTACTAATGCTGCAATGCAAGTTTTATAGCCTATCGTATGCGGAACGGAATATCAGACCTACAGGTTCGGTACCGGTACTGGTAGCTCAGTACGTAAGTACGATACTGGTGCCAGTACCGGTTTCTTACCACAATGAAATTACCGTAACTTATTCTTTCACGGTCCTACCAGTGCAGTAATGCAAGCGTTGTAGCACTTGTAGCCTACTATATTTGTTTATTTTGATGAGAGTCTACTGGAAACAACATAAAATTTGAAAGAGAAGAATTGTTCTGTGATCAATTATCTGTCCTAAAGTGTAAACAACATAAAATTTGCAAGGGAACAACTGTTCTGTGATCAATTACCGTATATGGCCTACAGTGTACAGGTAAGATGCTGGCTGACTGCTAACCGGTACTGGTAGCTCAGTACGTAAGTACGATACTGGTACTGGTGCCGGTACCGGTGTCTTACCACAATGAAATTACCATAACTTATTCTTTCACGGTCCTACCAGTGCAGTAATGCAAGCGTTGTAGCACTTGTAGCCTACTATATTTGTTTATTTTGATGAGAGTCTACTGGAAACAACATAAAATTTGAAAGGGAACAATTGTTCTGTGATCAATTACCGTATATGGCCTACAGTGTACAGGTAAGATGCTGGCTGACTGCTAACTCAGTACCGCACCTACGTTAGGTACCGGTACCGCCGTGAATTCTCTTTGTTGGACACGTAGTGGTCATAACGATCGTTTCATTATTATGTTGTTCTTGTTCTTTGACACGTTTTTAAAAAGTCGCTTTTCTCTTCGAATACTGGACCAATTGCTTTGAAATTTTCAGTGGTTAAAGATAAAAATTTTCTCCAGAAGGCTTCGCTATGACGTCATCAAAATTATGTGAATCTACGTGTCCATATATTTGAGCATAGCTCTCTTGTTTGTTTCAGCTTCATGGACTTGATGGTGGAGCAAGCAGTAACCGACAAGCGATTACGTGAACCACCCTGCAGCGGCGAGGAGTTTAGCAATCCGCTTGCCCACCGGATTCGAACCTGCGAACTCACGCAGGGTAATCAGAGGTGCGGTATGCGTCACAACGCCGGGCCGTAAATCGACTGAGGCAACACGAACTTTTATGAACTGAATAATGAACAATTATTCTAGGCAGAAAGCAAAAGTTTTTCATGTTAAAATGCTCGAGTTTTCCGTACTTTGATAGATTGGTTGATTTTTCGCATCCACGTGTTCGAATTTTCGAAATGAATAAATGAGGTCAAAGGACTATTTTCTGATAACAGTACATTGTTTCCAGGAAGATACATTCCGATGAAAGTAAACCAAGCACGGTATATGAATAAATATCCTTCGGTCGTATACACGAAACGCCATCGCGGTAAGCTTGCAAACAACAAATATTTGAATAATGCACTTCGTGCAAAAATTAATGAAGTGGTCTAATTTGCCTCTTTGACTTTGAATATCACTCGTATCTGTAATTCACATGCAACGTTTTTGCAGGAAAATAAGACTGAATTGAAACCTACCTAAATTACACTCGTGGTATGCGGCACTCACTGCGATTTCAAACAATTGATATGTATATAGGAAAAATGCAGCTAACTTTACACATTTTTGACAGCATAGTTCTAATACAAATAACCTACGGACAAAGAAGGGTCAGTCGCTCAGAAATGCCTTCCGCTGTTTCAGTATTACGAATTGTCGACTGCAGTCGTGAAAATATTGTCTTGTTTCTGATACAACATAGTAGCTTTGTTCTGTGTCAAGAGATAGTTTTTGCTTCACTACCTCGATTACTCGAAGACAAAGCGTAAGATAAACTATATATATATGAGAAAAAGTACGCGACGGGAATGACTTCAAGAGTTAAATTTTCACCTATCACGTAAAGTATTCTTCGAAATTCTCTAAGCTTGACCGCGTGCAATGAAATCTCTTCTTGTTGGACCCGATCAGTCACAAATTGTGCGACTGATCTTATTATATGACAAAATGTTTTATTAAAACTTTATTCAGTTAACTTATTATGCAATACTCTCATAATGATTCCTTGAAAAATATCAGTAGATGAAATGTGGAGATTTTACCTTGTAGACCTGATATTGTTTCTTGCTGCAGCATCTGCTTTCCTGTTAATGCCATTAAGAAATGAATTTATATACAAGGTGAGCATTTGATGGACTATGAGAATATTACGATCATTGCTTTACAGGCAATTGGTGAAGAGATATTTAAAATATTAGTCACACATTGCTGTTACATCCCATGGTAATTAGTTTAAAACTATGTGAGAGAAATTGAGCATTACATCAACAAAACTGATCGCAAAGTAAATTGATCCCATAGGTCTAAATGTTTGCCATATATATATAATAAATTTTAATAAAATCAATTTTTGCCATATGGAGCTAATCGGAACTGGCAATAAAATCCGAAAATTAGAGCGATAGTGCACTTATAGCATATAGGCTACAGTTGTTATGCAAATTGGTTGTGTTTTAGTTTGATATTGAACTTGATAAAAAAATTTCGCCATGGGTAGGTATACAGTATCTATAATTTAGAGCTCGACCGATATCACTTTTTGGCACCGATACCGATATATCGGCCAACTAGTGACCGATAACCGATATTTACAACCTGAACCCGCAGTAAATACAAATAGAAAGAAAAATTCAGTTTCAGTCAATCAAAAGTTTATGTTGAAAAATAAAGCAGTCCTACAGAGTGCTTGCATCATCGATACAAGTTTCACAGCAAATAATAAGAACACACATTAATGCACAAAACAGAAGGCAATGTTTGAAAGAACCAAGCACAAAAGAAAAATGGCAGTCAGTAAAAAGCTTATAGAAGTCCATTTTGATCCATACAGTAGTAGGTTTGCACGTAATTTACGGAATTACGTAATTTTTTCGAGTTACGGGAGGGAAGTTACAAATTACGTAGTAAAATCGTAATTATTGGTCGAGCGCTTCCGCGTTTGAAAGGTGCTCCTTCGAAGCAGTCAATTCCGTCGATTATAAAAAGTGAAAGTTTAACAAGAAGAAGAAGTTAGAGTTCCGATATTCGCAGCCTTTTTTCTCTCTCTTGTTACGCAGGTGGGGGAAGGCATGACGCGTTGCCACCCCGTTTGAGCGTTTGGTTTCACGGTCAAAATGATATTATTATGAGCGTTATCACCGTAACGCAATTAAGACCGACAGACTTTTTTGTTTTCACGATTTGGTATCTTTTTTATTCGGCGCTGATAATGATAAATAAGTATGTGTGATAGTTGATTGTAATTCCGGAAGGCGTATTTTTCTTTCTCTCCGTGAAACAGACATGAAACGAATTTACCGCCGCTATGGGCTTTCAAAAGGAGAGAAGGCTACTTTCTTTTCCCGACTCAATCACTTTTATTAATACAAATCACAGCGCATTAAAAAACAAAATAGAACTTATTAGCATTAATTTACAACGAGTTACAGGTAAGAATTTACCGCCAGCTAAATAATTAATATTTGATCTAAATTTATCGCAAATAATGTTATAACATTTAGGCCGCGAAATGATTTGATATAAAATGAAGCTTGGTAATCAGAATATCGTCAATAATTCAGCATCAATATTTATTATAAAATGCTAACTATGTAGCAAAGTCGGATAATGTAAAAAACGGAGCAATAACAAGTCTTCGTCGCGAGGCAAGCGCAGGTATAATCAAACGAGAGAATACGCTCGTCGTTGATTAATAACTTAGAAACCCGACATTTTTATTCAATACGAAATTCGATTTTAAAAAGGCAACTATCGTTTCATAAATATCCGTATACCAGTGTCGGTAATGATAAAATTGATCGCATAAAATTGGGACGGTTAATTTGCGAAGGTGATAAAGGAAAATTAAAGCCAGCACAAAAGATAAAAATCACAATAAATTTAATTTGAATTCACTCCTTGGTATTTGTCTTTAACATCTGTCGCCGGCGTATAGTACTGTCGGTAATATGAAAACCAAACTTCGATGTCCCATTCGGAAAAGAAGTGGATTCAAATGGTTTTTATGATAGGTTTAAATGTATGAAAAAATATCGCAATTATGGGTCATTACGTAATCGATTTTGCCACAATTACGGAATTACGTGCAAGCCTAGTGGGGACGCAAGATTATCGAAGGCGAGGATTTTGCACCGCACGAAGAGATAAAAGAGAGAGAGAAATATAGAAGAGAACTCTGTTCATTGAAAGGCAAAATGAGAGAAGCGAAAAAAGGAAACGCTCGGCCGCAGATATTTCCCGGGGAAAAAGACTCATTTTTTAGAACGTGGAAAAGCGACTAACGCTGATATATATCGGCCAGATATATCGGACGGTTGGGCCGATATGATATATCGGCAAACACGCAATATCGGCCCGATATATCGGTTGGCCGATATATCGGTCGAGATCTAATCTATATAACACATTTTATTGCAGAGGGTTGCTGAAAAACATCATTACAATGAATCCGGTCAATCATATTGTGGGCCAAATGGCACCAATCAGACTAATGAAGACACTGTATTAGCAGATGAAGTATCAAGGCAAGTAATGAAAAGTATTTTATTTGATAATATTGTATGGATACAACAAGTCAGGTTATTTTTTCCGAACAGTAAAAAATCAATCGTGTACACATTTCGAGAAATGCATTCTCTCTTGACATTTTCTTATTTTAAACACTGAATATTTTTGCAATATATTGAAAAATGCGTTAAAAACGGACGCAATGTAACGTTTTATTCGCTGATTGGAACAATATTCTGAATTTCGTCGAAAAAAAAGCAGCGACTTCAAATGGCTTCGAAATATTAGACTAAAATTTTATCTGCGTACGAGATTTTAAGGAATCATATCCCGCAAGTAACACCTTATATCGTAATTTACTACATAATACCCCAGTACCCTCTTATAACCTAATAGGCCGACGGCTTCAAAAATATACGATTTCCACCACAATAGAAAAACTCGCTCGGGCTCGTAAAGTGGTTAAATTAGGTCAATATAGCCTACTGTAATAAAGTCGATGTAAAATAGACGAACGCTGATATTTGCAAGAAAAACAACAGGTCTGAATATTTTTAGATCGATTATCGCCGATATTAGACTAGATGGGACAATTTGGTTCACAGTGACAAAATGACAATGTGATCATTTTACTTACTTTCCAGGTCGACGATGTTTATCAACCTTTCTATTTTTGTGCCTGCTATGTTAGCGGGAGCTCTTCTTACATCCTGGGGCGATAGAGTTGGACGAAAAATTACTCTTGCAATTCCACTTGCTGGTATGACAGTGAGCAGCATCATCCAAGCATTAATCATCTATTTCCAGTAAGTAATACTATCACACCATAAACAGGCATCTTCCATAGTATCTATGCATCTTACTTAACGCACTTACTTATGCTCATGTGGTCATATCGCTCCACTCTATACCAAATAACTTTTTCTACGCATGCTTGTTCATGGGACATATATATATTTCTGCCCCATCCCGCCTCGTAGAAATTTACGCCTGTCCCATCACACGGGACGTTTGCCATGGGATTCCCATGGACAAGCCTCGTATTGTGTAGGTCTATATCTTTTATTGTTGCAATGCTTGTTTTCTGGTTGGCTAAACAATAATTCTCTATCTCTCTCTCTCTCTCTCTCTCTTACATACAAACTTTTTTTTTACAGCTGGCCTCTGGAGGCTATGTATGCGTATGGTGCAGTGGCAGGAGGTACAGGATATTTTATGACGGTGCTGATTCAAGGGACGGCCTATCTTGGCGATGTAACAGAACTTGAAGGCAGAGGAAAGCGGTATACACTTTGTCTTATCTGACTAACATGTTCCCATATAAACTACAAAATTCTAATACATATCAATTTCGCATCAAATGCGTTGAACCAGAACCACAGAAAACTTAACCGCTAATCAATGTAAATATGCGTGGATAAGTATATTACGTTGAAGAAGCAATGTTCTACACAGCAGAAATTTTATTTACATATGTCTACTAATTCGACTAGAATAACGCTGTCAATTGGTGATTAAATTACTTATCTGGAGTTAGAGTTTAACGATGAATTTTCAGATTCACAATACTTGAAACTTTCATTGGAATCGGTGGAGGCGTGGCTGGTTTGGGAGGCGGCTATTGGATAAAAGCACAAGGATTTTTACCGTCTGTATGGTGTACAGTGGCATTAACATTTATCGCCTTACTCATTGTTCCATTTCTTCCGAATTCATTGGAATATGGGATTAGGAATAAAAGGGTTTTAGCAAAGCTGAAGAATGACAAAAAAGCTGGTACTTCAGTTCCATCGTCGTCTTCATCTATAAACAGTGATAAAGGAGAAAGTCCTTACATGGAAGTTACTCATGACAGTGATAATGACAATGAAAAATCTCCGCTGTTGTCGACTGGGAAACGTTCTAAACAAGGAAAAAAGAAATATACCTTTTTTGATTTATGGAGAGCTGTATGGAAAGTGTACTCGACAGAATATATGACGTGTGACGAATGTTTTGGGCCAAATCCCGATATTAAACAATTAAAAGCAGGTAATTATTTAAAAATAATATATATCTCATATTTGGATCTATTATTGATAATATGAAATTACGCGTGCATGAGGCTCAACGGAATGATTATATGCTACGACGTTTTATTTGTCGATATGATTGTCATAATGATAAATTACCGTATATCAAAATCGTTCGTTACATTATTGTAAGACAACTACTTCATAGGACCAGTACACCATTATGTTTGGTCGTATGCTATAGTTTGGCTCGATTTGTGGGTTATATTTTGTTATCCAAGTACCAAAAGCAATACAAAAATATTGTAACCAAAGGTACAAAACGTTAATTCTTGTGTTAATTTTTAAGAAATGAAAAATACAAAATGTGAACACGCCGGAGGTATTATGCCTGGAAGAGTGTGGAGACTATGGTTGTACATCATATCATATTGCACGTATATGTTTTTGAACGTTGGAATCATAGTGTTTCAAACAATATTTTTCCTTTCGTATCCTCTTTGTTTCACTCCTGTTTTGGTCGGAGCGCAATTAGTAAGTGGAAACCATCATATATAATACACTATTAAAAGAATAAATAATCATAATTGCCAAGTTCGAATTCAAATTATGTATCACATATATACAATGATTTATTATCATTTTAGGATAGGATAGGATTTACATATTTATCCCGGGGGAGAGGAAAGCCGATAAGACGGCTTATCCATATGGCGAACCACGGCTTCTCGTCCGGTTACCATTCCAAGTCGGGTATGGGATTAGTTTTACTGTATTGTTTGTTTTTCGAAAGCATGGACTTGGTGGTGGAGGAAGCCGTAACCGACCAGCGGTTACGTGAACCACCCAACGACGGCGAGGAGTCCAGCAATACTCTCGCACATAACCATCCCTGCATGGGATTCGAACCTGCGAACCCACGCAGAGTAGTTAGAGGTGCGGTGGCGAGCGTATTCCTAACGCTTAGCCCGTTGAGCCACACCGCCGCGCCTTTTCAGTTTGTTCTTCGTTATGAAGCGTAGGAGATTGCTTCATTCACATTTAAGATTTTATGAATCTGAGATGGGGATACCAGGATTATTTCGAAACTTTTCCGAATTTATATTTACTGTCAAATGTCAAGATACTTATTTTCGCGTTGAGACGTATATCTTTTATTCCAGGATTCATACTGTAGTTGTTTTCTACACGTTTTCTAAAATAACTCTTCTATTTATTTTCAGTCCACAAAATTTATATCTGTCGTTGCGGGTCCCATTCTCGTCTATTTATTTCAGAAGTGTGGAATCGGAAATCAAGCGATAATCGTTATCAGTTTGGTAGGATATTTTGGATTTCCATTCTTGATGATATTTGCCAAAAGTGCGTGGCTTGTTTTTGTGGGTAAGTATCATAGTTGATATTTTCTTGATTCTTTGAGTATCACGCTTAGCCTACTGGCTTCTGTCCGATACACTAGCCGTTTTCAATTTAAACTACCATTAATATTTAAAGATTCACTTACATCATTAATTTTTATTTAGCAACGAGTATGATGACGATAGGTTGCATCCCAAAGCCTTTTATTCAAGCTCAAGTATCATCTCTTGCTTCTGAATCTGAGCAAGGTAAGTAGATACGCACCGCCACAAAACTGAAAAGTAACTCCATTCATATTGTAAGATATCTGTGGCTTGCCCGGTGATAATAAATGTCGTAAAAAAGATGCCTGTGTCGAACCTGGACTGATTTTTTGGGACAAAATCCTGCGCGTGGACCAAGAAATTATCACTTCATCATATATATTATCATCGGTATTCGGCAAAATTAGAATAACGAGAAAATTGAAAGCAGGTCACTCACAAATTTTTGCATGCCTGATTCGTCACCTAAATCAGGATCATCGGTCTTTGTAAAAAATATTTCCTAATGAATGGTAGCGGTCACTGACTCGTGAATATTTTCTGTTTACTTTCAGGAGCAGCGTTTGCTATGTTGTCGTCTAGCGAGGTACTCAGCTTTCTTCTTGCAACGGTTTGCTACTTAACGATCTACCCAGCAACGCAATATATATCACACTGGTTTTCATGGATGTTTTCAGCAGGAATTGCTCTCATTCCCCTCTTCCTAATGGGGTAACTTACATTTGTACTTGACTGACATTTAGGAAGATTCTTCACGATGTTAATATACTGTATTATTACTTAATAATCTCACCAAATATCTTTCAGAATTGTTTGGATAATAGACAAGAAAGAGGGAAGAACGGGAAGGATTGAATATGAACAGATTGCAGAAGAAGATTGGGATGAGCCGCCGCCGTATTAACGTCCCTTAGTGTATAAAAGTTACTGCAATCGAATGAAAATTCTTATATATATATATACCTAATATCTATGCATAAAGATAGTACTTGCCTACATTATATATTCCGTGGTTAAAGAAACTGGCTCAGTTATTGTACCGCGTTTAGAGGTGGATTATGAACTTACTAAGTCCCTTCCATGGCATAATACGCTATTTCAAAAAGATAGTAAGTAACATTTACAAGTTTTTTTGAAGTAAATGAAAGTTTTTGAAGAAACCGTAGAAAAAAGTTAAGGACTGCCAAATGACGATTAAATGTTATTCTCAACACGTTAATTAATTTGAATGAACTCGGAATTTTTCTCCTTCACGTTCGTATTCATCCACAAAAAATCCTAACGGAAACCCGCGATCAAGCATGTTCGTTTACTTGTAAGTTATACAACGAAGCTATTATTTTTGCGAAAATCTCGATTTTTTTAAACAACATATTAAAAAATAGCAAATATTTCAATCATTTTTCGGGAATAATCATGCGGAAAACAAGTTCTGAAATCGTCATTGCACATTGTCCCAAACTTCCCTTCAGGCTGGTACAAAACCAAAAAAAAAATGATTAGACACTCCATATCTAACACAAAACTATTTTTCCTGGGAGAAGTCTGCTATGCTATGCAACACCCACGTAAGACTTTCATGATGAGGCGTACATACCAAAAGGAAATAATATTATTTCAGTATAAAATTTGTGTCCAACATTAAACAATAAAGTTGTTTTGCAGTAAACCAAAATAGAACCTCAGGTAAATCAAAAAATGTACGTTTTTGTTTAAACTTCGCTACAGCATAAAATTCAAACACATTCCTTTACATCATTTATTTTAATTACCGGTAATTAAAACTTACCATTTCCAATAAATTTAAGTTATAAGTCAAAAAATAATTAACCTATTTCAGAAACAACATGCAAACTACTTAATCAAATTTATATAAATAACCTAACAAAAAAAACGAGTTGAGATACAATATTAATACAGGATGGGTGTGCTAATTATCTGCAACACTAATTACAATTAATTCATAAATTATTCAGAAATTGTAGGTAACAACATTAGCTATAGAGGGAAATGATTAGTGGAGAATTATATGGAAACAGCAGGATTTCGCAATCAACAATGCTTTTAGAATATATTTTTGAGTAGGTTAACACATTTCACGAAACTGGATTTGATGATAGTTATTATTATATAAAAGATAGTTATCTTCTCATGTATAAAATTCTAAATAAAATATTTTTCTATATTCTAGCATAGTCTCACAAAAATAAGGATTAATAAAACACTTTTCTAATTTGCATCAAAGTGAAACATCCAAAATAAAACAAAATAAAATGCCAGTTCTATCCCACAAAAACAGCCTTTTCCATTCCATCAACGATATCTTTAGGTGAATACTCTAACGGCATTTGATGATACTTAGTCTCGTACTGTTCCGAAAGTCGAACATGTTTCAAGAACTCTGCTTCTCCGAAATGAACTACTTTGTCTGCGAGAATCACAGTATGGGGACTTTCAACACCCTTTTTATTCTGATAAAATAAATCACTTTCTTCAAGTTTTTGAAGAACTTTGTGATGAGTAGGTTCTCCTAGTGATGATGATGACAAGAACACAAAATCTAATTTTTCTATCCCATAATCTTTTTTCAAGTTTGGAATGGCTTCTTCTGGACTGGCAGAAATCACAGTGACCTGTCAAAATAAACATTTTTAAAATTTATATATTGACCGTTGAATTATCACTTCTGTCCTTCTTGAAACAATTAGCAGCATTACGGATTGGAACCATGCTGGTGTTTCATGTTGGAAAACTTTATGGGTTCAAATCACAAGCACAAATGGTGTAATAAATTGAGGGTAAACAAAGTTATTTGTTGCTCTGGAGCCATGTTCAGAGTAACAGTATGAAATACATCATATTAACAAATAATTGAAAATTTTCTTGCAGAGGAATTCAAACTAGTACTGTACTGATTAAATAAAGTGATTCACATAGAAAAACATTAATCGTTCAATCAATATTTGCTTAATAAGCAGGAAAAGGTATTTAGAACAGGGTTTTACTTTTGTTTGTTGGCAATTTATCATCAAAATTGATGGATAAAATAACTGATGGAAACCTATTGAAAAAACAAAACTGTTTTTACTTGTTGAAGAGCAAAGTCTTTGGAAAGGGACCATTTATCATCAAAGTTTGAGAACCATGGGGTTGGAAGGAGAGCTAATCCCATTCCAAGCTATTTGATCAAAATTGTGACTCTGACACTACTAGTTTGAGAGGCAATATGAAGTGTTGAAAGTTACAGAAATCTAAGAATTGTTTTCAACAAACCTGATTATCAGTTCCATTCAAAGAGAAAAATCTTTTTGTGTAAGAACAATTTTCAACATTAGTTTCAATCACATATATGTGAGTAGATGGAGAAGAAGATCTCAAGATTCGAAATATTGAATAACCACACAACGATCCACACACAAGAACTTTTTGTGGTTTTCTCTCAGATACTATTTGCTCCAAAATATCTCCTGAAAAGTCAAACGATATTCCAGTTACAGTTAGGAATCTGGCTAGTATTTAAGAATTTATAACCAATTACCCATATACTTGAACCTCAGTTGCACTGCATATAAATAGCTATTGAGAATTGCTTTGAGATTTAAAGTCTGTTTCAATTTGAATTTGTACATGAGGCTATTAAAATATTATGATCTGGGGAAATTCACACAAATGAATTATGTTAAATTTTAAAATTGATTTTTGAAAACTTTAGATCTGTGATTTTAAAACTTTGGGTCGCTCATGTCAATTCATCATGACGGTCGGTAGGATCAGTGGCGCAAGCAGGCCGTTTTCAACGGGGGGGTCGACCGGAATTTACACAGTGCAACCACGACGTAAGTCGCAACGCCACTAGGTGTCGCCCCGCTGAAACACGATAAATTGCTCGTGGTTAAAAGGGAAACGCCATCGATTAAATCCCAGCCTTTCGTTTACCTTGCCCTCGTTCATTAACGGCGCTTCGCTATGTCTTGCACCTTGTGGGTAGCAAAACGCCGTTCATTACATTCCAGCGAATTGCTAACGAAAAGCTGTTAATTATTTTCAACGTTTCCCTCGCTTTGCGCCTCGTGGATAGTGAAACACGGCTTGAATAAATTTCAGTGTTTCCCTCGTGCCGCGCCTTGCTCGTTGGGTGAATTCGTCAAGACTAAAAACAAAATGCACTTCTTGCGAATGGACCTTTTCCCGACCCTAACCCCAGAAAAATTCTAAACTAAACTGAACCTCACCGGAAGACATAATGACAATTGAAATAATTGATTTACAACTAATTTTGGAAACACAACTAAAAACTGACTAATTTAATGCAGGGATGTCCAAATCGAATTTAAATTTCAATATCGCAAACTTCAAATACTGTTTTTTCGTGTTTATAATAATCCCGAATATGGCGCACATATCCTAGCATCGTCGTCCATGTGTGGTTCGGCAATATATTACAGCTGACATAAAAAGAATTTCGATAAACGCCGACTTGAAGAACTTCGAGGACGTTTTTGATTGAAAATATTTTCTTATCGTGTATTTTAACCTAGTCGAGATGGTTTAGGCGTCCTTGGCAAATTGTGTCTTAATTAGTTGTTTTCATCCTCAGTTTCGATAGTGACCGAACATAACAGAAAATTTTTTCATTTCTTGTAATTTAGCGCGTATAAAATAGCTCTTAAAATAGTATTTAATATCTATCGCGGATTTCGTCGGCATCCGGCGTTGATGACAACATCGTTCAGTTTAAGTTAGCGGTATTCATTTACAAACAAAAATACATAACAGCCGACATGCAATATTCAAATCAGCGCAGAGTTCAAAAATAAAACACGTTTTATGGTCTTAATTATGCACATAGAAAGAAGAAAGGACAGAGAAATAACGACTAAAAACTAAGAACGGTATGGTGTGTTTGTGTACTTTTGTTTACCATCGTCATCATAATCATATTAGTTAAACCTGATTTCCAAACTTCCGTCCGCCAATAATAGAGAATAAAGTGGAAAAACGTGTTTTACTTTTTGAGTCGGCGTTTTCCATTTTATGTGTTATAATTTTTTGATTATAAACCAATACCTCCAACTTAAAATGAACGATATTGTTATCAACGACGTCGGGAATCGGGATAACGATAAAATCTCCGATAGAAACCAAATAATATTTAGAAGCTATTTTATAGATTGCAAGAAATTAAAAAATTTTCCGTTAAGTTCGATAACTATCGAAACTGAGGATGGAAACAATTAATTAGGGCAGGATTTGCTTTTAAGTTTATTGCGTGGCGCACAACATATCTTGACTAAATTGAAATATACGATAACGAATGTAAAAAATTTCAACCAAAAACGTCCTCGACGTCTTATAAGCACTTCAAGTCGGAGTTTATTGAAAATCTTTCACGACGACTGTTAGTTATTGTCGTGCCACACATGGCTGCTTTCGATTGCGATAAAAAATGAAATAATTGTGAAATGTTTTTAAATCAGAACGTGGACGGGGGCGGTAGGATGTGTACGGCGTTTTCGGCCTTTCATATGTAGAAAATCTTAGGTTAATCGAAGCAATATTTTTCCGAAAATAATTTTCGTATCCAGATTTTCAGAGTTTCTACTGCATTATTATAACATGAAGACGGGCGGCGTTACATTGCGTCAAGATGATGAAGCACGAGAGTATTTGTCACAAGAGAGAGAGAGATAGCATTATGCTATTGTCGCTTTCAATCCGCATCGACAGCGCGCGATTTCTACTTTTTTGAGGTAACATATCTCATTTTCGAATACAAACATATACGCGGGGATAGCGATTATTACGTAACTAACAGCAAAAAGGTATGATTGAAGTCGGGCGGTGTTAAATTACGTCGAGGTGATAAAGCACTGGAAAAAAGTAGTTTTCACCGGATTGTTATGACCGTAGAACGACGTTGTTTGAACGTAGAACAGTAATAAAAAAAAACGAATTTCAAACGGGGGGACACGACCCCCGTAACCCCCCCCGCTGGTTGCGCCACTGGGTAGGATCAACGGAAAAACTATTTAAAACTGGAGCAATTTTGTATATTTTACATAAATAATATTATGTGCTCAGTAAAAAAACATTTCATTACTGGCCATCGACTAACTAGTGAATGCAAGTAAATTTACTGAAATTATTACAGATCAATACAAATCATGTGATGTGACTCATCCATAATTGAAATCACATGGGTTTCATCACTAACCCATGACCAGTTCAAACATAATCAATTGAGATTGTGAGTTGGTGACTGACAAAAAATCCAGGTTTACCACTATATTTGTTGAGGGCAAACAATCTGAACAAGCTTATTGCGTAATCAATTATTTATACTACGGCACAGGAAAGAATGGAGTTTCCTGTGAAACAATATTGCTGTCACGTCTGTTATTGATGAGTGGAACAGCTATGTACATCTGGACAGCAAACCTCATTTAAATAATACATGCAGATCACAGAAAACATTTTTATTACTGAATATATCAAATAGACTACAACTAAAATTTCAAAATAGCCACAAGTTAGATTAATGCTTTACATTCTGCAAATCAAGTTTCATTCAATAGATTCCAATATATCTACTCTACCGTGCTTATGATGAAAATTTGAATTCAAAACTTCCTTCAAGCACCAAAACAAATGTTTCAGAACAGAAATTTCAATCAAAATCACCATCATTTTATACAATATCCTTTCTGTGCTGAAACACACCAATTTCACCCACTTGTAATAAATCCGAAGTTAGGGGTCAATCCTAAAACCCATATTTAATTGTTGCAATATAAAATACCTATTTGAACGAGACAAAATAAAAATATTACCTTTATGTTTTCCAAGGGTGAGAGCAAATTCTTTATTTTCACAGTAATTCTCAATATTTTCTAAAATTGCTTCAACAGACTTCTGTTTTTCTGACTCTAATTTCACAAATTCAAACAGTCTTTGTGGAAGTGACTTTCCTGTGAAAATAGATAAAAAGATATACCTGATCTAAAAACACGAACATAATATTTATATACCAACATTATATTCAATATTTTTTTGAATACTTGAAATCAGGAGCAATTCAGAATAGTTTCATTTGAGAAATTATTATTTTAAGTAATCGAAATCTGTAGGCCTTCATTAAATTTTTCAAATCCAAAAAAAAAATGAAAATATAACCAAACCATACCAAATCAATTTTTCATCTTTACCTTCTTGTATTTACAAATTCAAACTCATTGATTAGACATATATGAACTTCATACAAGTTTTTTGTTCAACATAACTCAATTCAGAATATATTTAATATTTGAAATATTATATTAGATTGTATTTGGAATAGTAGATTAAATTCGGTTTGAGCCATCCCTGCTTCAGTTCACGACAATTTTCATTTATTTGAAATAACTTCATAGTCATAAGTTAACTATAACTACAGATTGATATCTAGGCATTTATATAGTTAGATCTGATAAAAATCCCCACAAACCTGTCAAGAAATTATGAAATTTCATGGGCAGATAGAGTCTTCCTTCTCTATACCACCAGTAATAAAGTGTATGGAATATAAGATGTTTCATCATGACAAAAACAATGAATATTATCAAAGAAATGATAAAATATTCCTCTGGCCCATAACCATCCGGATTCAGTAGTTTTTCCTAAAATAAAAAAATTTGGACACTGTCAATTTTTTTTAATATCAGACGAGCTTCTGCGACTAAGTTGTTATTTGAGAAAAAAGCTAGATTGAATTGTTCAACTGAAGAGTTTGGAAAGATGTCAAGATTGAGTCAAAAAAGACATTGTTTGATATGTAAATACGAAGTTAAGGCAATCATTCTATTCATTCTTATATTTTATGATTTGGAGTAAATTTGACGCAATAGGATACTGAATAGTATAAGATAAGCAGGACAGTTAAATCAGAGTGTTTTATGAATATTGAAATCGGGGCAGTGGTCGTATTCTTAAACGCTCCCTAAGTTGTTAGTTGGGCAATTCACTAAGGTTGGGAAGTAATAAGCTTTAAGTAATAAGCAATCAAGACTTTGCTATTAATTGTTTAGTTACCATATCATTGTACTCAGTTCAGCAGCTAGATAATACCAAGTGCAGTTTTAAGTATTCTGTGGCGTCTGCAGCTGCCGCAAAACCATGGCGGTATTTCCATACCATGACCGCTACGGCTAAACTTATGGCGACTGACATTTTAGCTGCCACAAACCAATGTCGAGCTGCCGTTACCGCGGCAGCAAATTGAAAACCAATGGCAGGTAAAATTTTGCTGCCGTAACCGCGGCAGGTGGGCCGTAAAGACAGGGCTGTCCCTTATGGTGACAAATATTGGGTAAGTTGAAACGTTTTTCTTATGGATACAGTTTTGATGGATTTGGGGTTAGGGTTCAAGTACATATAATTCCACATGATCAATTAAAATCTGGTACATTAATTTGTGAATATACCGTTAATACTGATTACTGAATAGCGCTATAAAACCATGGCAAGAGCTGCCGCGGTTCGTTCGTGGCAGGAGCTGCCATGAAGTGGTAAGAACTGCGCCTCGATAATACAGTAATAGCTGAATTTCATAATAGTTTTCATAGAATAGTAGACTACAGATGAATGATGATGATGTAACACAAGTTAGACGCCCGAACGTTAACACGTTCATGTTTTTATCTTTTTTTTGTAATATGTTTGTGAGTGTAATATCATGGGTGAACAGGCACATGTATTTATACGTGCTTTAAACTCTACTCGAGGTTTTGCCTGTTTTCCCAATTTCCCATTGTTTTATGTGTTCATTATTTGTTATGTCTGTAAGTGTATGTTTTTTTGGGGAAATCAAAATAAAGATTATTATTATTATAAATTCCAAATCATTTGTAGCCATTTCATTACTGCTGAAGCTGTTGATTGTTTATAGTAGTCTAGTACAGTACAAAAAAACAAAATCTTATTCAGTTATTCGAATACCAGAATAGGATCATAAGATTTACATACTCCAGTACCGTATTTCAGTATTTATCCCACACTATTCAACTTTTTGATTCGTTATTTTTATTATGATGAAAATACATTATATAAGTAATGAAAATAAAGACAACTAACCAATGTCATGATATGAGACAGGAACAAATAGCCAATTTCAACCGAGAACTTCGCAATGTCAGAATTTCAGATATCAGAACGTCGATCCGCAACCCGCACGTAGACAGATACCAAAGTGCCAGCTCTCTGTCACTTCCATTCCTCAGTCACTTTCATTCAAATTTACAATTTTTGCTATTAATTTCCATGCGGAAAAAGTCAGTGTTCCCATTCAAAAGTTTGTCAAGGTTTTAAAAAATGTGGGTGGTAGAATCTACGGACCTCTCCCCGAGCATTACCTCGTTTTCGCGTTTTTGAAATCTATTCGTTAGTTTTCAGTTGTGTTTCGGAAATTCAAATATATATCAAATAATTCAATGATCCCTTTGTCTTTTTAGGAGTGTCAGTTTAATTGCAGTATTCAAAAATTAGTTTAGAAATCACTGTGATAGACTAGGCTAAAATTCTTTACCGGTACGTTTAAAAACAGATTGTTGAATGCCATGAATCAGAATGATGGTTTGAAATAAATATTCCATTTTGCAGGAGCCAACTCGCGAAACCACTCCTAAAATAAATACCGAAAATTTTGCAATGGTTGAGTATAGGAAGAATTTTACGGGGGTCAAAGATCGGGAAGAGGTCCATAGATTTAAAAATTTTACATGGCAAAGTTTGCTATTTTTTTAAATAGAGCAATGCTCGAATATATTCAAATATGTTTTTGATGTCGTACTATATATTCTATACCAAACCCGGTATCGTACTTTTTGAACCGGACCTACCGGTATCATTCAATTCCCGAGTTTCGCGACTTCGCGTAGAATCAAATCGGAAACAGACGTCACGCTTGGTGGATTAAAAACCGTGTTCCTAACCTATGAAAAATATTAATTTAGCAAAATTTAGCATAAAATGTCAGATCTCATAGGATTCATAGAACATTTAGTAACTAGTGAAAACTAGAATATTTAACCACTGAAAATTTTGAAGCAATGGACGTTTCCCCGACTCCTCAAAAAATTCTCCCCATACTTTACTATTGCAAAATTTTGGATGCTTATTTTGCCAGTGTTTTGAAGAGTAATCACTTACAAACTGATTTATATGCCCAAAACTATTATTTTCAATAAAATATACAACCACGTGCCGCTTACACGTAATAATTGCACATTTTAGCCTAGTCTATCGCAGCTTTTTTGGGACTAATTTTTGAATATTGCAACTAAACTAAAACATTCCAAATACACAATTAAATTCAAACAGAAATCCTCTTCCGTAAGCTTCAAAATATAGCAAACCGAAGACGTAGTAACGCATCACTCATGCGTAGCGAATCGGCTGTGAGCGAACTATATTCAGTGAACTATGGTTCTAATCTAATTCCAACCTCCGTCAGCCAAGTCTCATTCATCGCAGTTCGAGTTTCTGAGTTGGCTCGCTGCGGAAGGCTTTTCCGAAGTAAAATGTCTGCGATTAAGGAACTGGTGGCAGGTGAATGTGGAGGGGCCAATCCTTTGATGAAAATAACTCAGCACGTTAACCAGGATTTATCGTTTCAGCATCGAGGACTGACTAACAGAGTAAATGGTAAGGGTCCTTGGTTTATTCATCCGTCTGTCAATTCTGCAATTGGTCAATCATTCTGCAGAGTGCAGGTTAGATTTATGCACCGTTGGGTGATCACATTCCTGCATTCAGATACTGTATTATAATTACCATACCAAAAGTCTGAAATCCCTTTTATCACCAGTAGCGATAACATCTACTAACATTAATATATGGTTCAACAATCAATCGTTTATAAGTATGTAGAAAACTGATACACAACAACCTGACAACATCATTTGGTGATATATTGATGATACAATCAATAATACAGGGTGTGACTTTATACGCTGATATGAGTGAATATGTATTTTCATACATAACAACTCCCATAACAATGCTCTAGACCAGGGGTGTCAAACTCGTGGGTTCTCGTGGGCCGCATTGCATTTTTGGAATTGTTCGAAGGGCCGCAAACATTTTCTGGTAAATATTTAATAATGTATACTTGGAGTATATTTTTAGACAGGTCTAGTTTGTGACATATATTGTGATGCAATTAAACAGCCGAATAAAGTTTTGTTATTTTTTTTGAATTTTAAATGCCATTTACATATTAATTTTTCCATTTCACTATTACTTCAATTTACTGTATTTATCATAAATATCATAAATAAAAATCATAAATTTTTATGTACAACTATCCAAATCATTTTTGAACAAAGTTTTGATAAAGAAAGAATAATACCTACACTAAACTTGAAATTTACAAAAATACTAACTAAAGAATAAACTCAGTGTTTTTTTTTATTACACATGTCTCGACGTTTGGCATCTCTTGTGTGCCACCAGCTTACTAATATCAGGCTGAAATGATTTTACAGTAGCAACTCTAATTAACGAGGTCACATGATCATCGGTTACTCTGGATCGTTGAGAATGTTTGATTAATTTCAGTAAAGCAAAAATATTACGTTTATCATTTCATGTATAGATCAGTGAACAAGCAAATGACTGACTTTTCGGACCAGACATTTCCCACCACATTTCGCGACATTTCCTACCATTACGTGGTATCAATTTCACTTCGAAAAATGTAATATATATCTATATTTAGATAAAAAAAATATTACAATAATTGTTAAGCGTTCGAGGGCCGCATTGGAAGTTCTCTGGGGCCGCATGCGGCCCGCGGGCCGCGAGTTTGACACCCCTGCTCTAGACAAGCATTCTTGACACATCATACAACAGTGACTATGCTGTTCTATGCTGAGAATGATGGTCATCCCGGATCCTCTACCCAATTTTCATACATTTTATATATGAATGAGATGTTGAAAATTGAGGCAGATTTCGTCAACTTGTTATGTCAACAATGGTTCAACACTTTTACCATTAGGTCATGAAGTGTTTAAACAGCTGATGATAGTTCTTTATATCTTCACCCTAATAATCGTTTGAAGATTGTCTAGTTCAATAATATCAAAAATTTTTCTAACATTGTAATATTTGATGTGTTTTTTCAGGCCATGGAGCTCATCAACCTCTCGCGGAACAATATGCAAATGAGTTTCTTCAAGATCATCAAATGGTGGTCAAACATCCACAGACATTCGATATGGGACGACTGTTACATGAAGCACGTTTACTGGATTCCAGACCACCACAACGTAAAACATTTTACTCTGCCTTGTACTATTGTGTGAAGTTTGCTCATCTATTTATTGTACATATCGTCGTTGTGCCGTACCTCCTTGTCCTGTGTATTGTACAAGAGTTTTAATTGTATATTCCATGTCTGTTGTCCTACTATAACGCAGCAGTCCTAAACTGCAGTTATACTTGTTGGGGTGCATGTCACACATCTGTGTTTTAGGCCAGTAAGGTCTTGAACATGTATCCCGTCTTTGTTATACTGTTTAATTATTATGCATATACTGTTACATTTTTGAGACAAATAAACATACATACATACTATGTGCCAAGCTTTGGTTGAGCAATTATTGGTGTTTTTTATTGGAACCTACATACTCAGGTCTTGTTCACATTTTATTGAGTCAATGGGTATTGCTTGTGATTTGAAAATTATTGCCTTGATGGATATGTAATGTTGTGCAGAGTTGTTGCTGTAAATGACTTTGTGATTAATGATTTGTTTTGATATAGCTTGAATTAGCTCATGGTATTTTTAAATCAAATAATAGCACGCTATTCAATCAACAGAAATTCAAATCTCAGTTACTGCACAACATTGGGAAAAAGATTTTCAAAGTTTCAGGCCTGCTCCATTTCGAGATACTGGCCGTGAAGAAGCTCTGTGGGCTGAAGAATTTTTGCGACATGGTGAATATTTTATCAGACATTTTCTCGTTGTTTGCTTCAATTTTCCTTATATTTTAGTGGGGTTAGATATCTTGTGCTTTTCATTGTTTATGATGTATTATTTCAAAAACATGAAGTCATATCATTAAGAACTTTAGAGAATTTAAATATTACTCGAATCTGTGCCAGGATATTGGGAATAGAGTGTATATTTATAACTCAGTGGCTTAACAAGCTGAACAAAATTCTTTGTTCAATTGCTGACTTCATGTGATTTGTATTTGGTCGAAAGTTTTAAACATGTTGAACTTATCACATTATTCCCTGTTCATTGGTATGTTTCTCATAATTTTTGTCCATATATCAACTTTTCAGAACAACATCAAGAAATACCTTTTTATAATAATTTGAATGGACCTAATATGATGGGTTATGAACCTGCCAGAATACGAGAAATAGATGATGTTACAAGTACTGAAGACTGGTGAGATATTATCTTATGATTGACTTGGATCTGACATGTTTTATGCCTTGTGGCCCCTCACGGAGGCTTTTAGCACTGATAGCCATCCCCCTGTTTATCATTCCAGGGGTAGGGGTATTTATAGTGTTATTATGATTGGCAGATTCCAAATCCCATTATGTTCCAACAATTAATGCTCAACCTATTGGAAAACTCTGAAATAACCTTATCAGGCCATGAAACTAAAAAGAACGGAGAGTTTTCTAGTGAAAGGTAAAGTAAAATTAGTTTTGCCCCTGACATGGTGGTCCCTCTCCAACTGCTATGCGGCCCCCATGGTAGGCCACGGGCCCCCGATTGAGAACCACTGTTTTATCTCCATGCATGGACTTTTAGGTACTGGTATGTATAATATTACCAGATAATATTTGTTCCGTTCGAAATTCTTTTTTCATTCCAAACTGAATCCTAAAGTGATTTTTGGTCGGTATATATGACTTTTATCATAGTCTAATATCTTTCAACTGATGATGTTTTCCAGGTCAAAGGAATTTGGCAGTGAAGTCCAAGAAAAGACAGAATTACAGAAAGCGGCAGATGAAATGGTCGAATCATTCTCGAAAGACAATAAAATATCAAATACCGAATTTTTTGATTTTGTTTCAAGTCTTGGTACAAAAGGTAAAGCAGATGATTGGACATCAGAATTTGTGGAAGAAAGTCAGGTACATTTTAATTATTCATAAATGTAAAAAAAATCATCACAAATTAGGAAATGATGCTGTTTTTTATCTGGTCATCACAAAGGTATGTTGTTAGGCATAATGTTATTCTTAAACACCTTCATTTAATTGTCATTTTTCATGACCACACTTTATGACTTTTAAAAACACCAAATCTTTTTTCTTTTCATCTGCTTTCTCTCTGAAACACTTTCTTTTATTGTTTATCCGTTTAGAGTCATCCAGATAATGATGTTTTATTTGACAGGAAGTTAATGATGTTCAGTTGTTCACTAGTTATGCCAATATTTTGAATACAATTTAAAATTCAAGTTACAATTCAGGCGAGCCATCAAACCAATCCACAATTGTCAAAAGCAGAAGAGTGGATAAATGAATATGAACAAATGGCATCACAAGATGGGGAATGGGCCGATGAATACTCAAAAGCAGCGAATGGATCTTTTACAACTCCTGTATGTTTTAAATATTACTTTATGAGGCAAAGATTGCAATTTAATTTTGGAATTCAATTTGTATGGGATTTAACACTGAAAAATTATACCTATTAGAATTAATTTGATGAGAGAGTACTATGTAGAAGAATCACTGTATAGTCGTATTTGCCATTATTGTCTCATATTTTCATTCAGTGTATGAATTGGTTGATGCATTGAATCTTTTTATCTAATTACATAAATAAAACATGTTATCCTAACTTTTAGGCTGACACAGGATTCTGGGATCGTTTACAGGAGGAATGGGATGATGCTTCGAAATCTGAGCAACATCCATGGTTGGATGATTTTTCTAAATTCCAAGACAAGGTTAGTACAAAACTGTATATATTTATGTTCAGATTTTTATCACAAGTCACAATTATTTATGATTGTTTTATTTTGACAATCTAAATGACCATTAGAAGGTTCTATCAGATTTTATTACTATATAATTTGCGTTATTATTTTAAGTTGTATTTATTTGAAAAACCCTTCTAGGGCAGTGGTTCTCAAACTTTTTATGTGCCCCCTTTTTAGAATTCGTCAAGTCTCACCCCCCACCTCAACAATAACTAGCTAACAATAAGCTGCAAATAATAGATAGTAAGGTGGAAGTAATATAGCATATAATAAAAATAACAACAAGCACGATAGCCAATAAAAAAATGTAAATTATCAAATTAAGTCGGCTAAAATCAAATCTAACAAATATTTTTGTTATTAATTGGTCTCACGTTTCCTTCAAAAATTGTCTACGCCCCCCTTTGTGGGGCACACCCCACTATTTGAGATCCACTGTTCTAGGGTATGTGTCAAGCAATTTACTTGTCTGTACATATGGCATGCTACATACTGGTTCTTGAATCATTACTCACCTTTTATGTCTGATTTAATGAGCAGGTGTAAAACCCTGGGTAACTGTGATCAATGCAATGATATATTAACTCAAAGAGTTCTATTTTTCATACTGTATGGTGCTTATTACTTTTTGTTGATATATTTATTTTCCTTTCCGTTCAGGAATATCAATTTAAGGAAGAGAATCCTTTAAAAGACATGCCGAATCCTTTTGATGAAGGCATGAAAAGGTTACGACTTGGAGATTTATCAAATGCTGTCCTTCTATTCGAAGCTGCAGTACAGAATGACCCTACTCATATGGAGGTATGTGAGATATAACAAACTTTGGTTTATTGATCTTACTTACTTGATCAAGGCATAGGAATAATATTTTGCGGACTACATTAATCCTCAGTTAAGTACTATGATAAATTCTTATTAGCACCGGTGAACTGCAAGCAGTAATAACAATAAACGCTCAGGAGAGAATATAAAGCCCATAAATAACAAATTTAAACATCATATATAATCATCTACTCTTTAATTTATATAGGATGTATTAAATGAGTTAAAAAACTTAAATAAACACAGATTAAAATAAAATAAACATCGTTATTAAGATATATTGAAAACTGCCTTTATAATCAAATTTGGATAGCTTTATAAAACCCTGTACTATACCAACTGCGGGATAAGAATGGTAATTGTACTTTGAATGTGAGAAATGCATTGCAAAATCACTGCTGCGGCAAGTTTGTTTTGCACAAAAAATGTAAACAAAACATTATGTCTATGTGATGATCTTCATTGATAAATGCATAGTCATGCACTGTGAGACTGAACAGTATAGCATAGTGATACTGCGGGTCACCTTTCTTAACATGTATGTTTCGTTTACATTTTGGCTATGATGATATGACACGCCTTCACTTTTTGTACCATCGACAACTATGAAAGATAACCATTGAGTATTGTCTATGATTTATGTTTTTTCAGGCGTGGCAATACCTTGGTACAACACAAGCTCAAAATGAACAAGAACAGTCAGCAATAAGCGCCTTAACAAAGTAAATATTTGCTTGCATATAGTGCCCTACTTTGCTAGTATTATGCAATAGTGCATGTCTGTGATGTCAGAATGTATGAATGTATGAATGGATGGAATATTTGAATGCATATAAATTTGATTCTGTATGACATTATGATCAATTGATATATGGCTTGATTGAATATTTGATTGTAAAATAACGGTAATCTAAAATACTATTATAGAACTTTTGAGCAATATGGCACTATGTTGGCAATATGTAAAAATATGCTATATCCGTACAATCTTTGAAATATTTGGGTCATATAAATTTTTTGCAGTTCACACTTACCTATATTGAAGGTATTAAAAGAAAAAGAATAAAAATACTATGCATTTATAATGAGAGAACATTTAAATTCAAAAAAGCTTTAAAGTGACATTTTCTGATTTTGGTATTGGTTAAGTGAATTTAAATGAAGTTTATAATTATTGTCTTGTATAGTAATCATCAGTGATATTTTGAATTTTTTTTGTGTCACTATCACAGTTGTTACATTTACTATATCATTTCTATTTGTGTCAAATTATGTTTATATTTCATCATTTCAGGTGTATTTCTCTCGCTCCAAACAACACAGATGCATTACTAGCACTTGCTGTAAGTTTCACAAATGAATCTATGCAACAACAAGCTTGTCAAACATTGAAACAATGGATGAAAGTTCATCCGAAATATCAACATTTACGAGGAGACGGTAGTGCAGGCACTGAATCAGATTTTCTTCAAAAATCATATTGGGTTAGCAGTGTTGCAAGCAGGTAAGTACTTATGTATTTTTTACTGAGATGAACACTTAATTTTTTTTCAATACAACGCTTATTCGTGCTTTTTGGTTTAAACAAGGCACTATACAAGCAGTCGCTGATATCTAATGATATGTAAGGAGCTTCATTTTTAGTTGGGAGGGACCGGAATTTTGTTGGTTTGGCATTTAAGTTGCATTTACGCACAACCAGTGAGCCATCACTCGATTGACATACCTATTTTCCGATTGTTTTAATAGGTTGCTGCAGTTATGCTATTGTTGGATCGTTCATAGATTAATTGAATTAACCAGAATTTATTGCAGATTTTATATTAAAATGTGAGAAGATTGACTGACATCTTATTTTCAAACGGTAATGTGTATGGTTGGCTGTGGATATTGCCATTCTGCATATAAAAAAAACATTAGTGAAAATGAAAGAAATTTTCTTTATTTTATCATATCACTCTGTTGAGTGTTGATACAATTATATTATATGGTACCTGATATAATACCTGGTACAATTTATAACTGAATACTATTAGGCATGTCCATACCATAGATAGGTAATTTCAACTGTGACATTTAGAAATCAATGTGTTGTGTATGGATGTTTTTGTTGACTTGAATTGTTCAAAATATTTTGTTGCGAAAGTTTTTTATAACAATATCAAGCAATTTTATTTGTTTCTACTTTCCAGTGAATTATTCAGAGAAGTCCAAGACATATATATGAATGCAGCAAGAATGTCACCAGAGAATCCTGATCCAGATGTGCAATGTGGTTTAGGAGTTTTATTCAATCTGTGCAATGATTATGATAAAGCTGTGGACTGTTTTCAGGTTGGAAATAAATGTGTGATTTGTCTATATAGGTGAATCCAATTGAAAGGTGTATAAAATATTGATTTTTACTACTCAACCATTTTGTGTATGTACTTCTCTCCCATATCTCATCTCATTGACCTGTGAAGCTGACATAGTTGGTCCAATGATTAAACCAATAGGGTCACTATCATACCAAGCATGTCCATCTCTACCAATTTTTTCTTCGCATGATTACATCCCACTATTATGTAAACTTCAATTGGATTAAATCTGTTTTTTTTTTGTTTGGGTACTTATCCCTATGACATCATGTATGACACATTAATGCTGGTTGAAATTTGCCAAATGGAATTGGTTTAATCTATGCTTCAGTTACATAGTTTACTTCTACAATACAGTTTAACCTGTACTATTCTTCTTTTGGTGTTATAGGCTGCTTTATCTGTTCGACCTGATGATGCTTTATTGTGGAACAAACTTGGTGCAACTCTAGCTAATGGATCTAGATCTGAAGAGGTATTACTGCTTATATAACATTTTACTTTGAAATCATCTCTCCTCCTTTAGTCTGCTATATATTTGCTGTTGTTTGGTGCATTGAAATACTATTTGAAATGAGCAGAGGTTGTTAAGTTCTCCTTTGTTTGATGGCACGAGAGGAAATTATTTATTTGTTTAAATTTCATTCTGAGTTCACATAAGTTTAGCAGTGATATTTGGAAAATATAGATCCCTGTGGTGTAATTATGCACCTGGCTCATCTTGGACTAGGTAAAACATAATTTTCCTCCAACTGTGACTTAAACAACCTTGGCTAATGCCTGGTGAAGTTTCTTGCCACTACCAAATAATCTAGAGTCCAGTTATATGTCATAATTCTAATCAGGAAACAAATTTGAGATCAACCTGTGGTGCTAACATCACAAGAGATTCCTTTTACTATCTTATTTCTAATTATGTTACTGTTGTTATTCAGGCGGTACAAGCATACAGGAGAGCATTAGAATTTAATCCAGGATTCATTAGGGCAAGATATAATTTGGGAATAAGCTGTGTCAACTTGAGTGCATACAGGTATGTTTCCCAGTTCATATTCTAATTTATACATTATTAATGTTTCAGATATAAGTCAGATATATGCTACAATCAGATCAGCATAGATAGATCTAACAGATATTTATTTGGGAAAATTAGTATATGAATAATATGGAATTAATTTCCCTAAAATTATACGTCTTTCATGTTCATGCCCAATGGTTAATTGAATTGTGTTTCTGTTGCTGTATAACCGTCCTCGAGACTGAAACCAAATACTGACCAGCACATGAAAAACCTAGTTGCATCTTTCCCATGATCACAACCTAAATGTTTGTGGCATGATAATTGCCTTTTATTTGATACAAATAAAAGATGTAATAAAATATCATATGGATATATATACACAGAGAGGCAGCTGAACACTTCTTAACCGCCTTGAACATGCAAAAATCTGGCCGAGGACCCAACGGTGAAACAGGTGTGACATCTGATAATATTTGGTCAACATTACGAATGGCAACTTCTTTTATGCGTGATGATGAAGCTCACACAGCTGCAGATACAAGAGACATGCCAACATTAAATCGAATTTTCAATATACACGAGACACAACCAATTCTCCACGATATTGTTGAACCAACTCCTTCCTAGCCTCAGTGAGGCAGCAATAAGTATCGATTCCTTAGTTGGTCCCAATGTCACACAACAATTCTATTAATTTCAGTTGAACCATGTCTTCATTGCAATCGGTAAATATGTTTGAAGTTTTAAGATGTTTCATCTTTTATGTGATAAGGTACAGATGGTAAGAATCAGTATGCAGATATACCTTTTCTTGCTTGTTTACTTCATATTTTTAAGTGCCTTGTCTTCATTTCATAAACGGTTTGATTCATGGTAGACATAAAATTTTCTATGTTAGAGGCTATTTTTATGGAAATATGACATTTAACCTTTTAATCATGTGTGAATTTAACATAGCTTCAGATTTTATTTATTGCAATCTTGTTGAAGGTTATTAAAATATGGTCATCCATGCTTTTATAATTTTCAAGATGTGACATCAATAGGCATAAGTAAAAATTTTGTTGCACTTTTCCAGAATCAAGTAATAATATAACTGTGCACGATATTCCAGTGTTAAAAAAGAATTTGTACTAAGCTTGTGTTTGAATCCAAGATTGTTTCATGGGATAGGTAGGATATCTTGCTGGATTATATTGATATTTTCTATGCTGACTCGCAACGTATTTACTAATTTTGTTAGTTATACATAATCTGTGATGCTGCCGCAATTATACTTTTAATATTCTATATGAAAATCTATGGGATAAGCACCATGTAAATTTTGTTTGTTAAATTTTTATGTGTATGTCTGTCAAATATGATTATTTAAATTGCAAAGAATACATTCTGGGTGTAATTTGATATATCTAAACTCTCAAACTTAAGTATTGAAGTTGATAAAGTGATTGTCTTTAATCTGTGCCTAAGTGCTCAGCGTTTTTAGCATTAAGTGATGTAAGTTTTAATTAATGAACAAGTATTCGAAGTTTGAAAGTTCCTGTCGGAGGAGGATTGCCGTAGTTGTTTTGAGATAGATCTAGCGAACTAGATAGATACTCATACTATTTGGTGGTGTCCAGATACTACCAAAACCGATAGCGTTTGTGAACAGGGCCTTCATTCAAGGCGCACCGTGCTAGGCGTCAAGGAACACGCTTGCCTCTCTGCGCGGGTTTGCAGGTTCGAATCCGTCGGGAACACTTGTGTTGGATTGCTCGCCGTCGTGGCTGGCTGTTCATGTGAACGCGGTCGGTTACAGTTTCACCAAAGCTGGTTTCACAAACCAAGAGTCGATACACGGGGATCTGAAAGAAATGATTACATGGACGGGAGAGGGTACGTACCCAACCACCATATGATCCAGTCGTCTTTTTCATATTGAAATAAATATGAAAATTCCATCCTAACCTAACGAGAACATTCTCGTTTGTATGTAGGAATGCACGACACGTCTCCCGAGACTGTTTTTGAGAGAAAAATCTATTCTGTACTTAACCATTGCAAAATTGTAGGTGCTTTTTAGGGTGGCTTCGTCTTTAAACTGGTTTATATGTTTCATGCCATTATTTTGATTAAAAACATTCAACAACCTGTCATTTGAAATTACCGGTAGAAAAGTTTAGCCTAGTTTATCGCTTCTATTTCTAGACTAATTTTCGATTACTGCAATTAAACTAAAACTTCTAATACGACAAAATGATCGTTGAGTTATTCAAATCATACTTAAATTTTCGAAACACGGCTAAAAACTAGCAAATAACATGCAAAAACGCGAAAATTAGATAATGTTTATGACCGTACCTGAAAATCTGTGTGAGTGATAAAAGTGATTGGACGACTGCTAAAACGTCTATTGTTACGTCACACATTGCATCTTGCTGATTAGCCAATGTTACGGAAGTAAACAAAGAAGTCGATGCTCATTGGGAGAATTAATCAATGGGAAAACATTGGGCTGTTTCAGGCAACCACTGGTCGGGTTGTTATGGTTTCCCAAGCGAAGTTCATGCATAAGCCATCTGAGACAAATGACTGCTGGTTCCCATATTCGATATGCAGATGGGCGCGTACCTAACCACTGAGGGTCTGTGATTCAGTTGTCTTATAGGCCTTCCTTCCGGGAAATAAATAGGAAAATCCCATCCAAATGAAATAAATATTCTCATTTATTTCTGATACATTCCGTACATTGGAAGGAATACCCGGCATTTCTCCCGAGACTGCTTTTATAGGCCACTGTTTGTCTTCTGTCAGTCTCGCTGCGCTGCAGAGTGGCACTTCAGTCTTTTGAAGGGCATTTTGAATTAGCCATGGCCTCTGCTTTGAGAAGATTAGCTCTGCGATGGGATTCTAGAATTCAGGAAAGGTTGTCGCCAGGCTGGAAGAGTAAATGGAATCATCCTGCAGGTAAAGTCATCAAAAACATTTGGATTATACATCTGATCACAATACTGGTACAAATCACAAGCGTGTGATGCGGTTGTCTGGTTGCAAGGTTGTGCATTTCAATACTTAGAATTGCTAACAGGCATTCCAAAAGTTATGATATATGGCTGGTTTTAAGTAATAAACAACACAAGATAGACTGAAGGAGTGTTCGATTTTAGCATTCATGCAATAGTACGTATGTCTTTCATCATTCATTCTCCAGTTCTCATGATGATGATGAATTATGATGGTTGGTAGAGGTTTACAGCAATATTGCTGTTGCTGCTCTGGGACAACAATATATATCTAACTTACACCTAACAAAATTATTTTTATGCATTATGCAATAACCACTGAACCAGTAATGTATTCTTGAGTTGGTATAGCCAATATCTGTCTTTAGACAGTGTTTTTTTTATTTTGTTCCCTTTTCCACCCACTGCAGGAATGTTTTATTACAGTTGAATTATATTAATTGATTGCAATATTATTCCAGGTCCAAAAACAGTCCATTTCTGGTCTCCTGTTGTTAAATGGGTAAGTTTGCACAATCTGCATTTTTCTAGCTTAAATTTAAATGAGAAATTCTGAATAATTTATTGGATGGACTTTAATTAACCAAATGGAACCTGGCACAAATCTGTCCTTCACCTCACTGAGATTAAAGTTAATAAATATGCAGGAGCTAATTCTGTGATACTTTTTCTTCCATTACTTCCCAACAATTCTCTATGAAAAACCGTTAAGAAGGCAGTTTCACAGTTTGAATGTTCAAATAGACTATAATTCAGTAATTTGTAGTCTGGATATATTTTTATTACACACGTAACTGATTGAACTAACAAGTATATTTTTTCCAGGCTCCCTGGTTTTGATTAGAAAAATACTCATTATAGACTTACTGACATCTTATCACTGTTGTACCAACCTCCATACCCTGATATGCTTTATCTCCAGTGACAGTATAAATATTATTGTTGAAGTATTTTTTCAATATAACTGAAATTGAGGATCAATTGGCTTGTTATGTTTAAATTGCAATATATGACCTGCATATTACTGGAGTTTAAGAATTTGAGCTTCCTCGTTTAAATTTAGTTTACGATATTTTACAGATAGTTTGCGATACTATTTTCAGATAAATGACAAACTGTTTACCATTTGTTGGATGACTGGTATTATTTGACATCATATCTATGATAAAAATGTTTTCTGAGACATGTAACAATATTTAACATTTCAGGGTCTAGTCATTGCTGGGATGTCAGATTTCACAAGACCGGTTGAGGCTTTGAGTTTGAATCAGTCCCTCTCTCTTGCTGTAACGGGTTCAATCTGGGCTCGGTATTGTTTGGTCATTATTCCTAAAAATTATTTTCTTTGTTCCTGCAATGTTTTTCTTGGAGCTACCGGAATAACCCAGGTTGCCAGAATCATGATGTAAGTATGATATGTAAACTAATTTAAATTTATAAACATTCTTGTGTTATGTTACATCATCGTTGCTCCTATCTGGAGATGTGTAAAAAACAAGAATGGCTGAAAAGTAGAATTATTTTGGTAATTATAACGCTAATAAATTATCTCAATATGATTTTATGCTGGGTGTGGACACCAATGGCTAGACTGGCGATCTGCTGATCTATGATGTATTATTTATGGCAACCAACTAGTAGTGTTTGGCAACATGTCAATCAATTTTTGAAAGTAGCTTAAAAATAATACAACAAGATTGAGCTTGATTTTTTTTTTTTATGCAGTGATAAGATGTATTATATAAATAGTTCGTTAACAACTGATATATTTACTAAGTGAACATTTATGTTTTTATATAGGCTGTGTTGTTGTGCGATATATAGCAAAATGTAATATCATCTAACATCTAACACACCTTTGTTAATTTTATACCATTATTCTATTTTATTACCAGTCTTTGATTTGAAATGATAATTAGATTAAATTCAATAGGCACATTCAAATATATTTTCTAATTGATCTCTAATTATAGATTTTATTCAGCCGACAGGTACAAGTGTTAATGGGCATATATAAGCAATCAGAGATTGATGATTAGATATATATAGATATTTTACACCCCTTTATTCTGCTACTTATTGAGCTCAAGCATACCTCTTTCACATTGCCACAGACACAGGTCAAAGCAAAAAGATGGAGAATTGGAAGCTGACGAAACTTAATAATATGTTCACAATGGCAAATAGCACTGTGAAATAAAAGTGGAAATGATTTTTGGATTATTTGTTATTTATATTAGTGAAGCATCCTAAATTTATAATTTTTCAGTTTAATCAAGCCATGATGTGCCTTGATTTATTGATATTTGTTGTTGACCGATATATTGTATAATTGTATGTGATAATTGACTTTCCTATTCATTTATCAATGTTTTCAATTTATTATTTCATATACTGTTTAATTAGTGTTGGTTGGAATAATCAAACACAACTTCATGAAATTGTGATTGTATTTTCTTTTTAGACTTTTTCATGTCTTGTACCAATAACATTTGTTTTCTCAAGGTACAAATGATCGCATAGTTTTTGTCATCTTAGTAGTCGCATTTCTCAGTTTCAAGTGCCTGTGATATAGCTTTAAACAAACTTAAGCATAGTTTTCAAATCTTGTTTCTTGTGAAATTATTTTTATTTATGAAGCTTTTTAACCTGTTAAATTGTATAAATTGTTATACTTTTTCATTAAATGGTTTTTGGTGATTATGTTTTTTAATCTTTCTGTTCCAATATTTTATAATTAGAGGATGCAATTTCATGGTTGATATACTGATATTTAATTTCTTTTTAATTTCTTTTTGTTACTGATTTATATTTTAAATAATGGTTCAAGATGAATACTAATAAACTGATGGTTTCAATTCAATTTGAGTAATTAAATTTCATATGGATCGTAGAAATAACTATTTTTATTATTATTACAACTACATTTCAGTGAGCTGGAATAGATATATTTTTTGTGTAAAACTGCCAAATTAGAAAGCAAAATATTTATTTATATTGATTTATAAATGACATTTGACATGTATTGCAAATTTTTGACTGTTTCGTGAAATGTGAATATTTACCTGATATGACTGTCAATGAACAAAACTATTATCCTTTGTTATTGTGTATTATACGGGATGCTATTTTCTGGGTTAATTTGACTTATCCAGTATGATGTATTGTTTGTATTGAACATAATTCATTTGGGATGTCCTGGTTAAGATAAGTAATTAACCTTTCATCGACACTCATAATATTTATGCAAACTGCAAACAAACATAATAATGCGGGTGTATCAAGGTTACCTAGTGCATCTATTTCTTGCTTCCTGTGTGTATTTCATGACCTTAAATTTTATATCAGGAGGCATATTATCGACAGTGTGAATAATTTTGTAATGATTTTATTTTGAATTGCAGTTAGGTATAGTAGGGAATTATTAAGTTTGTTTAAAAAAGCAATGTTATGTGAAGGCTGAATCTATTGTACATAATGCTAGAGATGACCAGATTCTGATTAAATGAAGAAAGTTCATAGCTTCAAGAAATTAAAGGCCACTAGAGGATCTCCTGTGCAGGTGCTTTTGCTGGCAGATTTTTTGTAATTAAATGAAACTTATCTGTTCTTACCAAGCATTACTCTTTCAGTTAAATATTGCCAGTAAGCATTTTGCAGGATATTTTATGCCATCCAGTATAAAATAGTCATTGAGAAAATTCAGTAGCCTATTGCTTTATAGATGCTTAATATCTGGATTACTCAATCTTCTTCAGGTTATTGGTTTCTATTCAGATGGTGTTCAAATCACTCCATATTGATAATCCTTACAGTGGTGCCTCAGAATAGAATTATATCAGAGCACTGTTTGTTCTCTTCACATTTTATGGTTATATCACACCTACTTTCTGATTAAATTGGTTATGTCATACCTACTTTCTGATTAAAATTTAAGATCAATTGTATCGGACCTATTAGAAAATGGTTTAATTCCTAAATGGCAACATAGGAAGTACAATTGATGGATGGATCATATTGTGATATATACATGTGTAGGTGTAGTACCGTAATTGTTTTGCATATTCCCAATTTTAGAGTCATTTTTCAACTGATGAAACATCGGTACACCATGATGCGTCAACGTCCAAATTTCATAGTTCATCTTCAAGACCAAGGTTTGAATTATTCATGTACTGTTAGTAATATTTAGCTAGAGAGCATATATACTGATATTTTAGTTTTTACCATCCTCATTGCGTGTGAGAGCACTAACAGTTTGTAATTTTTTACTTCACCGACGCAGTTTTCAGTTTTTGCTTAAATTGGAGATACAGAATTATACACCAGAGTGGTTTTATATTCTTGTCTACTCATTTCACTATGAATATTAAGCGATTTATTTTTTATCTCACTTTTCTCTTTCAAAACAAGTCATTGCTTCATTTATACACCTTGACAATGACAACAAATCTTTCTAGAAACCTTTCCAAAGCACATCAGTCATAATAAAATATATATATCTATTCAATTTTCAGCAGGATTCATTGTTGCACCATTCTGATTGCTATTATTAATGCACTTGGCAATCATCTATCACAATAAAAAACTTTATATTGACATGACCTATAACTGACAATATTGGTTAGAAAATCTTGTTCCAAGAATTTTGTAATAGAAATTTTTTTATCAACATTCTAGATTTGATCAACTTTTTACATTTTTGGTCCCATTGTCAGTTTCTGAACATTTTAACAAACCTTGCACTTAGCATTTTTTATAACGAAGAAAAATAAAGAAAAGCTGATTCATTGCTTAATTGTGGAATGTGTAGTTTATGGTCAATGCATATTTTGTATTGTATTCATTTCAGGTCGGTGAGTGCAGTTTCAGCCTCATCTGCATTTGCATCTATTGCTGCTATTGATGGAGGACTCACAATGAAGTTTTCAGATGCTTATCGAGTAAGAATCTATTGTTTATACATGTTTTCATAGGTTTGTATTTCGATCTTTAAGTCAAGTTTCCTGTGCTATGCGATTTTCAGAAAGACAGCCATATTAGATTAACTTTGGTCTTGTTTAGTCTTTTGTTGCATACTCGCTGCTTTTGCTATTTGTTTTTATATGCTAGTACTTGACATGATATTGATACATGATCATTTGTCGTTTTTGTGTCATTTTGAAGTAAGTATTGATTTTTTTTGCATAGAAGATATGGAATTGTACAATATATGCATAATAAAAATCAAATAACAGTGACAGTATGCAATCTGATTACATACTAAGTACAATTGCAGTTACTGTTACATCAATATTGAAAACTAAGATACATTTTTTCAAGTAGGAATATTTGAAAATAGTATCTTATGTTTGTATTGAGGAGTTCGGACGCTTTTCTATAAAATACCATTCAATCCTGTGATGGATTGTACCAAGGTGAAATGCCTAAAATTAATTCTTGAAATGTGAAAAAAAAACATTTTCCATCATATTTATGATGTCATGTTAAATGCTAACAAATTTCTAAATTTTCTCTCAATGTATGGCTCCTATTTTACAAAAAATTTGGAATAATCTTACTAATAACAGGAATGTATCTGAAGGTGATACTCTTGTATATTGTATTTGATATTCTATGGTTCATCTCCATTGCGACGCCCACAGGGATAGTTTATTATGAAATTAATATTGGAAAGTGGAAGTCAAATATGACAGACCCCTTATGTTATTGAGTACACAATGTATGATGTCAGAAATATAGTGTGCGGTATAATTCTTGAGAATGGATATTCTATTTACACATGTGGCATTGTGTATATTGTGTTTACTCAACATATATTTCAGAAGACAGTTATAAATTTTATACACTTTCAACTTAAGTGATCTATAAAATGAGGCTTGGAGTTGGTTTTGCGGAAATAAAAGTGCTTGAAATGATGTTCTACTTTGACTTTTCCAATGATGCAATTATCATTATGTTTGTTTCCCACTCAAGGCTATACTCATATAAAATGTACAGTTCCCATAAAACGTAATTATCATACAAACCATCAAAAATTAATGATTTACTTATTTATGAGCTACCTTATTGTGTTGTGTATGTCGTTACTGTTTTACGTCACTAAATTTATTAGTTCTTGGTAGGCAAGTGGAGAAGTTGCCACATTTTTATTGGAAGAACCCCATGCTGCGTGTTCAGCTTATCAGATACTTGGTAACCAATTGTTGGTACGGGAATTGTTTTCAAATTCAATATACAACACGAAAGGCATGGATCCTATATATGAGCTGAATGATATTTCCAAGATAAGATTAATTAATTTCAGTCTGACGGCCAATCATTTCAGAAATCGAACTTGTTTTTATTTGTCACTGATTATAATTCAGTTGTATATCCTGCTTCAAGTAGTAATCAGTCTGTTGCACGACTATTTTCACTCGACCGTAGTTGCTTTTATCAGCAATGCCTTTTACAAAGTTTCTGCAAGGATTCCCATACTTTCCTCATGTAACTTCAAATTTGACAGAAGATAATTGGAAGCTTCGTGAACTCATCTTAATGATATTAGTTTTCTCATAAGTGATTCATGTTAATGTTAGGACCGAGCACAAATAGCACTTTAACAATGCGCAATATGCGTTCAAAACTTGTAGTTTTTCTATTCCCACAAAATATTTTCCAAGACACGAAGCAATATAGAACGAATGGCATTACGTGCGCGGTCGTTATCTCGTACTAATGAGTGTGATAGGCCCGGAACTTTGGCGCAAATATATTTGAACATGCAGATGTTAGTAAACAGTTTATTCAACGTAAAAACTTTACTCTTTGAGGGTTTATTTATAATCATGTTAGGGCGTCATATCGTCTAATAAACGCATTGCAAAAATGACGCGTATATCAAATCAACTCTATCGAGTTGGCAGTTTCAAGAGGCAGAGACCGCATGTGCGAAAAGCTACTGTACTTCAAAAACGTCACTCAATTGCTTTAGCCAATTTTCTTATTGTTCTCTAGCAAATTTCAATTAAAAAAATGCTCTTGACTTTTCCCTAAGCGCCATCTTCGATTCAAAGAATTGTCCTCGACTTGTTTTTGTGTTCACACACTGGTATGTAGACAATTAATTACATTGGGATGATGCGCCGCTCCAAATCAGCAAATATTTTATTGTTGTATTATTATATTTTGCGGGCGACACAGAAAGCAAACTCCATGTTAGAAATCCCTGACCTTGAAACACCCAAAAAAAAATTGCCTCCAATTATCCGTCGCAATTCTTTGTGCGAATAGCAAATATAGACCCCTTTATAATGTCAGAATATCGCATTATATGCTCACTTTTGTTCGTTCCAGGGGTTTAGGTTGCAGTTTCCATCCATACTAGTATGGCCTCATGTATGTACCCCATCTCATTTGCTGTTGCTGCCATCTGATTCCAACATGAATCAAATTAGTTTCCTTTTGTTATTTGCAATGTATTTTCTTGTGATACGTTTGTATTTGGATTTTATGTGAATAAATTAGTGGTCTCTAACCTTTTATGTTTCGGGACCCCCTCCCGGAGGCTTTTAGCGCTCATAGACCCATATTCAACTTCCAAAAATACGAACATTGCCTACAGTCAATGCCATCTCTAATTACTTGGCAAAGTTACATTCGTCCCAATTCGGTTGCTTTGTAATATTTGAAATTTAAATGTATTTTCTGCGTTTATAGTGCGTTTGTGACGGCTATATCGCAGTCTTATGAAACTGTCGTTACAAGTAGGCTCTGTTCACCATGACCTGTTGGTTAGTTGACTTGACTTGCCACTACAGAAGGTTAGAATTTGCAGAGCACAGAGGTTATTATTTTGATTGGTAGATTATGACCAATTAGACTATATGACCAAACACAAGAAAGTGAAAATACCCTGTATCTGAAAAAGCCTTTTCGGGTACCGGTAATGCAACTTAGAAGACCGGAGGATTTTGTTATAAAGGGAAATACGTGCAAACGAAATCGCAATAAAATCAATTTTGTATTGTAACTAAGGATGCTAAGTATGATTACTTACAAGCATTCGATTCTGTTCCGATTCCTAAATTTTCGATTCCGAATCTCGATCCCTGGACATAGCTCCGCTGAGCTAAATGCTCTTTCGGAAGCAGCGGATGTTGATGGAACACAGAGGTACTTTTGGACGACAACTGCGATGTATAGATAAGAATTTTTGTTTTGTTGCCACCATTGCAACACTTCTTCTTGGATCGCTGATATGCCAAAATTTCTGTCATTTAAATATTTTGATATCTCGGCTGAAGCCTCCACCTCCCTGGTCAATTCACCAATGTCGTCGCCCCATACTTCAAAGCTGCCAATACCATCATTGATGAGATTTTCAATATATGCTTAATTCGTTCTATTGGAGAGCTATTTT